GGAGGGAGGTGGGGAGCACGGGCGGGGGAGGCTGGGATGGGAGAAATAGACAAAAAACTGTACTTGAAAAATAATAAAATTTTTAAAAAACTTGGAGAAAATCTTTTAAATTCTGACATCATGGGAGTTCTTTTCCTACAGCTCAAGTGTTTCCTCACTCTAAATTCAGTTTTACTTTCAAAATGATGGACCAATAGAATCTGCATCTGGAAATAAGTTGAGGTCTGACTTCCTCAGAAGACATTTTACTGAGTGTGTGCAGATGGTGAACCTTTACATCAGTGCTATGGTCGCCACAGCAACCGCTGCCATAAGGCTCCGCCACCAGGGGCGGCGCTGATCCCACGAAGCCTCGAACCAGGCCCTTTGCCGGGGTCCTGCATGCAGCAGCAGTCCAGCAAGCCCTCCCCGGACTCTGAGCCGGCGCCCCTCACTGCACAGGGGAAGGAGGCGCCAGCAGGTGGAGCCAGGACTTCACACAGTGAGAATTTTTACTTCAAAGTTTATCTTTTTTCTTTTTAAATAGTATGTCACCGAAAACCAGCCTTAAAGTATAAGTAGTAAAACAACTGCAGGAAAACAAGGTGTGTGTAATCACCCAAAACAGAGAATGGAAATGTAATTTCACTACTTGTAGCAAGGTACACTACCCCCAGGAACCAGCCTGGAGGTCAGCATAACCCCAAGAGCATTCAGATCTTACCACCAGTTTACCCTAAGATTTCAAAGTCATTTCTGCAGAAGTTCTGATGCTTTGACATTGAGGATGCCCTTCTGCAGGGAGCTACACGGAAACTAGGAAGACAGAACCCCTGGAAGCATTAGCTTCTCTTGCACATTCAAGTTTGCTGGTGCAGTGCTGCCCCCGTGTGGAGCGACTTCTGAAAAAAGCGGAATAAAACTCCCTCTTAGGAGCAGTAACTCAGGACTCCTACCCATGGTCGGAATTAAGAGGATTTTAAGATTTCATATTAAAACAGTCCTCAGGTAAAGGCCTTTGTATATCCAAAATTCTGAGAAAACGGAGACAATTCTAAATGTTTCTGTGAGCGTGCACATATTTAAACTCTATTGTGTATAGACCGTCCACAAGGACAGTGACGCAGAACCGGTCGGAATCCTGGCTACATCACCAGGGACTTGCACCTCTGGGATGATTCTCCAGCCCCCCTGAAGGTGCACTGCTTCATCTCCGACATGGACCAACATCTGCTCCACTGGGGAGGTACTGAGAGCTAAATAAAAGGTGTCAGGTAAAGCATCTATTATCACTGTGCCTAGCACAGAATGCACTGAAGTTTAAGTTTCTCTTTTCCTGATGACACAAGGCCTTTGTGAGCCTTAGGAGCTTCAGAGACATTTGCGCCACAAACCTTACGTTCTACCTCTGGGCCCTGGAAGGCACATAACATTCATGCACTGTCCATCTCCTGTCTGCAGCACTTAACCAACTGATAAAATAAAATCAACAGCACAGTGACAGTAACTGAATTACTTTTTGGTAAAGACACACTGTTGAAAGTATGAGGTCAAGATCAAAAGTAGGCCTGTGTGTTTATGCAGGTTGGCTACTTTTTATTCCAAGCCTTTCAAAACAGGAATGAAGAGCCTAAAAAAGATGTGAATGCATGAAGAACAAGGCCAGAGAAGAGGAGGGCAAGCAAGGTGTTCCAAGCACCAATCTGGGGGAGGCGCCCACTCCCCCCGCCACCCCCATGCAGCACGGCCCTCACAGGAGCGTGGCCGCCTCCTTCCATCTCACAGCCTGGTGCCTCGTTAGCGGTAAGCTGAATGGTGTCGGAGAAAAGCTCTGCTAGTATCAGGGAAACCTGACAAAAATCAGAAGATTTCCTGTGGTGGGCAGTAGGTCCCACAACCTAACTTCCAAAGCTCGCGTCTGCTCTAGGAAAATCTGCAGTAGAACTACAATAAAACAAAAGGCATTCCCCAAAGTTTCTCAATCTACCACATAACCTTAAGTTTTCTCAGAGATGTTTGTGAAATTCTCCCCAAATCACCTCCTGATCCTCTGCAGTAACAACCAGTTAAGAGTTATTAAGAACATTATGGTTCACTACAATTTTATATTCCATCCAAAAAGAGACTTACTCTCTGTAATTTACACGCTGCCTGTGTAAATTACTCACATACAGGTACCAGGGGGAAGAAAACAGGTAAAACGAGACTGGCTCGTGTGGAGGACGGCGAAGGCTGGCGTCGGAGCTCAGGCTGAGTGCCGCCTGCGTCCACAAAGCGGAGCAGGCCGGCAGCTGACAGCAGCCAGAACCCGCAGGGGTTGAGAAGGGAACAGATAACCGCAAGCTTCAGCTGAATGCGACCGTAACTTTTGCAGAAGACGTATTTATTGTTTAGGCAGCCTGGGAATGGAACGGTCTGCCCACAGTGTCTCCCTAAGTCTGTGAAACTTCCTTGAGCTTTTTATGTCACTGACCCCTACAAAACAAACTCGGAGCCCAGGTTTAGGGTCACTGTCTCTCCATCTAAGGGCAATGCCCCACCTGGCCCCTGCTTTTCCTTAACCCGTGTCGTGTTGTGTCACCCCGCTCAGGGACCTCCACCCCTCGCTGGTCGAGGCAGGCAGATAATAATTATAAGTTCATCTGGCAATGGCAAATGGGTTCATGTTATTTAGAGTAGGTTTGAGAATACCCATAATGAAAAGTACAAATAAATACACGACATGCACTTACTACTCAAGTACATGGACTGGGTGAAGCCGGCTCTTCCTCTACAATGAAAACTCTGACTAAGAGACAAATTCGGTTTGTCCCAGAATCATTCCATCCTCTCACCTGACCTGCATCAAGATCTCTGAGTGCTACTCAGGGGAAAAACAAAGACAAAAAAACTAAGATGCCTTTAGTAAGCCCTCGGGTAGGCCCTGACTGTCAAATTTTCTAGGTTCTGCGCTCTGAAGACTTTAGTCTTTTTCTTCCCAAACTGGAGCTGCCTAGGTTAGTGCTCATTTTCCCTCCGCTCCGCGCCACAGCCCTGGCCCTGCTGGACGAGTAACAGGTTTCCACGGGGACACAGCACCTGCTCGTCGGGATGCCCACAACGTGGTGTGTGGAGCCCACTTTTCACCTTCTCACTGGTCAAGCAGAAAATGTCAACGAATTAAACCAAGTAAACCAGTCTAGGCCTACCACTTCGCAATAGACACGCATTGTTTAACCAATAAAAACATAACTAAACATTTTAAAGCCTTGTACAGTGAACCATTTTTTGGCCTATGATTATCTTCTAGTTCATAATTTTTCAACCAATAAATGAATATCCTTCCCACTTGCAAATAATCAGCATAAAAAATAGAATTTCAAAAACAGTTGCTAAGAATAACAGGATGAATCAAAAGCAGTTATGAAACCACAACTTGGTACCAGCTAAACATTCTATAAAATAGATGTTTCTTCATGGAATTTTTAAAAAGTGCCACATGGTATACTGCTTGAAGGAGAAAAGACAGGGTGGAATCAAAATTCTTTTTTAAGGTTTTATTCATTTATTTTTGGAGAGGAGAAGGGAGGGAAAAGGAGAGAAACACTGATTAGGTGCCTCTCACACACGCCCCGAACCCACAGCCCACACATGTGCCCTTTCACTCTTTTGCTCTGCAGAACGAGACCCAACCTACAGAGCCCAGCAGTCGGGCACATTCAGAGTTCTAGTGCTGGGAGGTGACCTGTTAGGGGTCACAGTTTAAGCACATACGCACCCACAGCCATTTCTATGCCCACAAGGTGGTAGGAAGATGCCTGATGGTAGCTGGTACCACAGCACCTTAAAACATGGGGCTTGCTTCACCCTTGAACCCTGACACCAAACCCAAAGGTTAATGAGCAGGAGTGAAGACTCACCAAACAACAGTATGAACCAAATGAAATGTCAAAGCAGAGATTGGAGCAGGGAATCTGCAAGCGAGAGACAAGGGCTATTTCACGGCAAATCCCAACTCTCTATCTCAAAAAGTTCAAAAACAATATTCAGAGGTTAAGTACCCACTGATTAACTGACAGCATTATTCGCCTCCCTGAAAATACTGCATCGGCAAAACGGGCAGAGAAAGCGGCCCTGCTCTCCGCCCCGTGCAGGGGCACCTAAGAGGGTGACTCAGTGAGCGCCGGGGACCAGCAGAGCCCGCGCTCCACCCGGGGCTCGGCTCGCCTTTCATTACACCGGCAAAGGTTAAAATGTCAAGAGAAAGAAATGGTCCCCAAACCGTGGGGTGTTAAGTTACGTTCTGGCTGCCAAACATTTAACACAGAATCAAGGTTGCTAAGAAGAATCTTGCCCTGGAATTCTCCGAGAGAAGAATGCATTACGTTACTTAGGCAATAAAGAGAATTGATTCAGCTTCTATTCCCACACCACCAGAAAATACCACAAACATCTATCTGGAGAAACAAGCTTTAAAAAACTGACATAAACTTAAGGTAAACGCTCCGTAAGGAGACGAGAGGACCCACTTCCAACGCCAGCAGTCTCCCACCGTTTCTGTTTCACGGCCCATGCAAACGAGCTACGAAATTCTCCAGCACGCCGAAAAAGCCTTTTGCTGACCCGACAAAAAAACAGGTGTAATTTTTATTTATTCACACCAGACAGCTATTGTTGTTGGCTGTTGTCATTTTTTAAAAAATCTGGCAGTCTAAGGAAAAGAGGTCAGTGCCCCTAATTACACAGTCAGGGACTGCACGCTTCCAAAGTTCTGGTGGCGCACCAGCTGAAGGTCACTTTCTTAGCCACTATGGGGGCACATATGATGCAAAGGTTCACTTTACACCCTCGTGTTTCAGCCCTTGGTTTCACCCCAGAAACACCTGCGACGTGAGACCGACAATCTGCAGGACACGGAGAAGTCACGCTGCCCACAGCTAACCTATGGTTCAATGTCCCAAAGGCAAGGATTGTTTTAAACATGCTTTTCAGAGTAACCCACTTTAAATACTGCTCTCTTTAGAAAAGCAAAAGCGTGTTACCATTGGATTTGAATCTGCTATGAGATCCCGCAGAGAATCCAGAAACCCCTGATCCTCCACCATCTGGGCATTGATATCGTGGAGCTTCGCCACGCAGACTGCCGCTGTCTTCCGAACGTAGGGGTCCTCGTCCTTCAAGCACTTGCGGAGGGGCTCACAGAGATATTCCGTGATCTTGTCCACCCGGATGCACCCCATGGTTCTGACTGCCAAGGCCCGGATCAGAGGGTTGGGATCTTCACAGTCCTACAAAAAACAATCCTTGACAGCTACAGGTGGACGTGGTGACAGAAAGGAAACAGTCCAGTTTGCATAAGACTCGAAAGAAGAGTTTATTGTAGGCCTCTGGTTACTGTCTGCCAGAACCCAAACCTCCCATGCTGTTCCGTTCCTGAGTACAGACCTCAGTTGCCATGTGAGCCCAGATTGCAATTCATTCAACTGCTTCACATATGCAGTGAAGAAATGGATTAGCTCCCAGACTGAGCAAAAGCCTGGTGAGCTGGTGTTACCACCCCCACCCTAAAAACACAAAAGGCCTCTGGGCTTGTATTCTGGCCCAGGAAAAATGAGGAATGGAAAGAGGGGCCCCATTAGCAAGCAGGGAGCAAAAAGGGCCTGGCCTAGAGACAAGAAAGCAAAAAAGAACACAGAGTCTGGTGTGGGCCCCACGTGAGCAAGTACCTCCTTCACTAGGTGCTCTTCCGAGTACCACACAAATAAAACTCTGAGTAACAAGAACACTCCTCGAACTGCCCCACTCTAAAAAATTTCTTTAACTATTATAAACCCGTACGTGTGCAGTCAGCCTACAAGGCAGGCTGTCTATCGACCCGTGGAGAGAAAAAATGGAATGTTCTTTGATACTGTAGAATGTAGCTGAACAGGAAAAGAACAAAATCCCCTAAGAAGAAAGAAAGTATAATGGTCACTTTTCAAAAAGAGTTTAATAGAAGCAAACTTTAGAAATGCTACCTTTTTAAAAAAATGCAGATGAAATTCCAGGCAGAAAAAAAATTACTAAAAAAAACATTAACAGGAACAGACTCGTTATTATGTTCATCAAATCTAACAAGCAAAAATGGCACTGTGGTTATCTGTTAAAAAGAAATCTTATCCTGACAAATATGAGAATGAAATAATTTTCCATCCTTATATCTGGAATTCGCTTTACAATTACCCACTAGGAGAAGGGAGAAGGGTCGGGAAAGTATGCACAGGGAACATAAATTAAACTAGACTGATCGTAGTTGGTAACCATGAAAACTGCACGGTGGATATTTTGAATATTCCTTCTACTTGAATACGTTTCAAATTTTCCATAATAAAAAAATTAATCAAATGTAAGCTCTAGCCCTGGCTGGTGTAGCTCAGTGGATTGAGCACGGGCCTAAGAACCAGAGGATCGAGGTTCAATTCCCAGTCAGGGCACGTGCCTGGGCTGCAGGCCAGTTCCCAGCAGGAGACTCAGGAGAGGCAACCATACATTGATATTTCTCTCCCTCTCTCCTTCCCTTCCCCTCTAAAGATTAAAAAAAAAAAGTAAGCTCTATTAAGCAATACGAAATAGAAGTAGTACTCCCTGTAGCAGTTTCCATTGCGTCTGACCTACAAGTGTAATTTCTACAAAAACAAAACAGGTTACTGGTACTACAATACCATGCCCACCCCATGTCAGCCGTGGAAGTCTCTGTGAGCCTCTGGCGGCTCACGAAACAGCAAGGTTCCACCTGGCCTTCCTCTCCCACCTGGGAGACGCACAGAGCCCGGCTAACAGAGGGCTCGCCATGCGGTCTGAGCTGGGTGACAAGCGCTGGCACACAGACGCCTGAAACAAGAGTTCTCCCGGTCACTGCCAGTACTTCTCTCTAGGGGCCCTCTCTTGGGGCAGAGGCTGCTTATCTGCCAGGCAGACACTCCTGTATCGAGTCACTCCCGGAAAGGTTACTGGAAGTAGAAGACACTGGTGCAGGGTCTCCGAGGTTACCTTCACGAAGCTGTTGACAGCCATGATGGCCATGTCTGGCTGACTCTTGGCGTAGTTCATCAGGTAGAGATACACAAGCTTCTTCAGCTCCAGGTTGTCGGTCTGCATGCAGTTCACTACGTCTGGAAAGAGGGAGCTGAGGACGGGAGAGAAGAGAAAGGAAAAGTGAACAGATGTCGGTGCCACCTGTTAGATGAAACAAAAAATAACCTTATTTACAAAGTGATCTGATGCCAGACAAATGTCCCCACAGTGGTATTAGGACAGAAACGAATCACTAAAGGATTCGCAGTGCTGATCCCAAGAAAGTTGCTAAATCTAAATTTTTTTAAACTTTACTGTAAGAGTTTTCAAACAAAAGCAAAGAAAGCAAGATAACGAACCCACTGCATCCATGGCTGAAAACACACCGACCCGGCCCAGCCTTCCTTCAGACCCCCCCCCCCGCCCGGCCCCCGCCAAGAGCTGCTCTGCAGGACTTTGAGACGAGTCCCAGACACGGTATCGTCTCATGCACAGTATTTTTGGGATTTTTTAAAAATCGCTATTTTTATTATTCAAAAAATTAACAGCAATTCTTCATGTCACTTCACCACGGCTTCAAAGCACTGAGGCTGCTACACTTTTTGATGCTCATTATCTGTCCACCATCCTCAACAGCAGGAACCTGTGCAGTTGGCTCTGGAGTCCGTGTAACTGACCCTCTACTTTCAACAGCTCCCTTGCCCGCGGGCAGAATGAAACGCTCCGTTCAGGCTCATTCTGCACATCTCTAGTCCCAACAGCTGGACTCCACTAATTTCCCTAGGACATCATGAAACCCCTTTAGTGGAATTTATTTACACATGCAAACAAATATAAAAGTGAAATTTCAGTGCATGCAAATATAAAAGGAGTTTATGATACTCGTCCCAAGTTCAAGGCATTTCACAATTTACTATCAGGCCAATAAAAAGAAACTGTGTTTTCATTCACAAAGTAGCACCATTAGCTTGAAAGGGTTGAGCTTGTCAGATTTAAAGTAGCACACCCTGGCTTGTGTAGCTCAGTGGGTTGGGTGCGGGCCTGCAAACCAGAGGATTGTGGTTCGATTCCCAGTCACGGCACATGCCCAGGTTGCAGTTCCCAGCAGGGGACACATGAGAGGCAACCACACATTGATATTTCTCTCCCTCTCTCCTTCCCTTCCCCTCTAAAGGTAAATAAATAAAATCTTTTAAAAAATAAAAAACAAAGTGTAAGTAGCACTTAAAAAAAATACAGGTTAATTATAATTTTATGGGAAGTTACCAATTAACCTTCTCCTAAGGCTTTATCAAAGTACCTTATAAATTAAATATTTCCAAATATCTTACTACTATTACAGAAGAAGCAACTGTCAGAGTTACAGGAAATTAAGAGACACAACTGGTTACTTGGTATAGCTCCCACACAACATATAAAAACAACATACAAAACAGAAATTATTTACAAAAGGAAGATGGGCCGCAAAGCCAAAGAATCCATCCTCTCGCCGATCAACCAGTGACCTCTGTCCTGGAAGGGAAACTGCCTGTTTGATCTGCATGTGTGTCCCCCACGTAGCTTCCCGTACACGCAGATAATTTATGAATGCCAATGACAGTCTCCAAAAATGAGGGCCCCTCCCATTTCCTAGGGGAACAGCTCACATGAAAAACAACTGCAAAACAAGTAAATAAACCTGAAACATTAACCACAGGAAATTCAAGATCCTAAATAATTTAATTCCAAATACCTGCACAAGATCAAGAAGATCTCGATCAAGAACAGTCCAAGCGCTAGCGGTAGAGACCACTGAGTCCCAAAGCACGAACCCGGAAGCCTGGGCTTTCCCACGGAGCAGCCACCCGTCACCGACGGAGGGTGACGTGGCCCGTCCCCACCGACGTGCGATGCACACGTGAAACACTCGGAATGGAAACTGCACTGCAAAGTATCGCAGTGATAATTTTTATGTTGATTTTATGCTGAACTATTACTGTTCTGGATCTACTGGGTAAAATGAAGTAGATTATTAAAATTAATTTCACCCACTTTTTACTTTAATTTTAAGGTGGCTACCAGAAAATTTAAAATTGCCTGTGTGGCGTGCACTGTCGTTTCTAGTGGACGGTGCTGAGCTTGCGGCCAACCTCCGTCGCTGGTGCGTTTCGAGCTATCTTTCCAGGCAGCACAAGTCCCATCTCCTGCAAGGATTCGTCACCTGTTTCGTTTCATATGGCTCGCTCTTTGGCAGAACTCTTACTGCCTTTAATGTACGTGTTCTAGTACCTAATTACCTCACGGTATTTTATTATTAAGGCTAAAGGCATCTGCAATCCTTCTGTCTGCATTATGGTATCTGGCATAGTGCTAGGCACAAACTAATCACTTAATTAATAAATTAACAAATAGTATTTACCAAGCATACAAAAGGAAAACACCACAAAAAGAGTTTTCTGTAGGACACAGAAACACACACTCGCCCCCCAATGCGGACTGTAACGGTTCCTCTGTGCCGACGCGCTTGCCCCAGCCATGTTTGGTCCTTGGTGAAAACCGCCCTTCGGTGGCTGGTCCTGGGTCAGCAAACCACAGCCTGTGGCCCACACACGGCCCAGCACCCAGTTTTTTACATGTGATCATTTAACAACTGATTTGATGACAGAAAGAACACTTACTCTGAACCCCAATTAAACAAACTGTAACCCCCCCAAAAGAACCCCAACTTTTTAGTACACATATAGTACAAAAAAAACTATACTAAATTATATGATGAATTTTCTCAACAAAATATTTGTGGAAATTTGTTCTCTCGTTATGTAATTACCTACATAATAACCTCAATGTTCTGCCTTTTGGCCTGCTGAGCCTAAGGTATTCGCAGCTTGCCCTTCACGAGAAGTCTGCTGCCCTGAGACAGACATCACGTCACAGCGAAGACCAACGTGCTCACGCACTAACAAACAGAACCACCACCACCGGGCCGGCCAGCAGCGCCCGCAGCACGGAAGACCCCGAGTCACCTCCGCACGACGGCATAGGGAAGCTGCTCTCACCCCGTGGGTCTCACGACCCCTTTAAAAAGTACTGAGCTCCCCAGAGCGTTTTTGTTCACGTGGGTTATATAACTACTGATACTCTACCACATCAGGTTAAAACTGAGAAATGTTAGAAATATTAACCCATTTAAAGCAACAATACATTTCATAGTAACAAATACCATTCTAAAGTAAACATCTATTTTTTTAAAGAGATGACATTGTTTTACAATGTTGCGAACCCCTTTAATGTCTAGTTTAAAGGAAGGTAGCTGGATTCTCATCTGCTCTGGCATTCAACCCCGGTGCAGAATACTATTCTGGTTGCAGTGTAAGAAAAAAAAATCCAGCCTCACACGCGTACAGAAACTGGAAAAGGGAGAAGTACCTCAGTAGCTTCTTCACATAACTGTGGCTCCTCCTTTCTTCTGAGTCTGCAGATGGCCGTTTCTTATGAGCTGGCCACCACACACAGGCTGCATCAAACTGTCCTCGCTTGTCATTTATCTTGAGTGGGCCTTCACCCAAGCCTCACTTGATGACACGAGCACTGGCCATCTGAAAACACGGCGCTATGAGCCGTGCAGGTGCCCGAGGTCGGTGCACGTCGTTACGTAAGAGCAAACGCTCGCCTCCGCCAACTTTGCTGCCCATCTCACCAGGGACGCCGCGGGTGCTGGGAGGCTGTCAAGCCCGTGACAGGAGATACAAGTTTTCTAACACTCTAATTTTTACTTTAAAGGTTGAATTTATCTAGTGTCATTTTTTCCCCTCGAAGTAACGGGTTCACTTTGTTTGGTTTTGATAAACTGTCTCCCGAACACTGAAGTCTGGTTGAGGGTAATTTGTCTGTCAATCGTACTTTCACGTGGGACTGGTGTTCCTAGTTCAACACTCATGCGTGGGCTTCCCCCCGCAATTCAACCATCACTCTTTGCTATGCAGCAGAAGTGCTTTATGCATAATTCCTACCATACAGAATATTAAAAAGGATCAAATGTTTAAAATAAACTTTAACGCTTGGTGACAAATGGCCCTAAGCGAAACCGCCCTGTTCGTCCCCCGCACGCACGTGGGGCTCCACTGCCCGGACTCACGCTGCCACGCCGGCAATGAGAAAGTCAACGTAACGAAAGAGGCAATAATAGTAATGCCTCAGGATTATCACAGGAACAGTGTTCCCCTCACAGGCCCCCGAAGGGATTTGGGGGGTCCTCAGGGACCTGCAGACAATCCTTACTTGCTTCCAAATGGTATTGCTAAATTACAGAATTTTGTTTTTCAATAAGGACTTTGTTAACACTGATTTTGATCCTGAACTCAGGAACTGAATGTGGAGTTATGGCGCTGAGGGCACCAGCTTACGCCAGTTAAAGAGCCCACGAGCCCCTGCTTCTCGGTGTACCTTTACCATCTCCCAAAACTGCTGCGGCCCCAGATCTGAAGCTGCGCCAGCTCTCGGGAGGTCTGATCCTGTATCTGTCTGCAAAAACTTGAACTGGTTTCACTCTTCCGAAACAAACGAAAACAAACAAACAAACTGAAGTTACAGAACTCACATAAAAGCAACCTGTTTTCAGGACACACCCGCTCTTACAGGTTCTCTAACTTTAACGGTCTGCAGTGGTCAGGGGTGGTGCAACTGCCCTCACCTGACGTCCTTCCCCACGGTCATAGCAGCGATCACCTTCTTCACCGCCTCCTTCCTCTTTTCCTTCTTTTCATTGTTCAGTTCAGCCTTTAATTCAAAGATTTCTCCTGTAAAAGAAGAAAACAAATGGATGGGCCTCCAGGACCAGAGCTAGAGCAGAACACTGTGTTATGCAGTAAGCAGCACCGGGAAAGTTTGCTAGAGCCAGGACAGTGACCAAAGTAAGACTGTTTAGGTTACAGGGTGAGTACAAGCCAAACCCCTCGAGAGGTAACTGACACTCCTGAGGGCATCACCTCCCAGGTTATGGCCAGAGAGGAAGATACAGTCCAGATCACAGGAGGCACAGGAGCAGGAAAAAGTCAATCTCATCACATCCTACAACGGGGAGAGACAGGCATCTGGGGAATGACCTCCCCCGTCAAAACTTCAAGGTCCTGGGGGAAAAGTAACGTAGGCAAAGAAAAGGTTCACAAATCAGTGTTTTCAAACCCAGAAGACTCTAGATATCATCTAATTCACCCACTTTTCATTACTATTATTAATCAACTAGCCCTGGCTGGTGTGGCTCAGTGGATTGAGTGCTGGCTTGCAGCCTGCGAGCCCAAAGGTCACTGGTTCGATTCTAGTCAAGGCACATGCCTGGCTTGCAGGCCAGGTCCCTGGTTGGGGGTGTGAGACAGGCAACCAATCAATGCATCTCTCCCTCTCTTTCTCCCTCTCTTTCTCCCTCCTTCCCCCTCTCTCTAAATAATTGAATAAAGTCGTAAAAAAACAAGCACTTAAAATTACTTATTCTTTTAGACAGAGAGGGAGGGGGAAGAGGGGGAGAGGGAAACACAGATGATGGGTTTTGCCTCTTATAAGTGCCCCATGGGGGGGGGGAGGGGGAGGGTGCCAGGGGCTGAACCTGCAACCTGGACACATGCCCGGACTAGGAATGGAGCTGAACCTTCGCTTCATGGGACAACGCCCAACCAACCGAGCCACACCGGTCAGGTCTCGTTCACCCACTCTTAGGGGATCTCAGAGTGACTTAGTGACAGAGTGTCTCCTGAATCCAGAGGTCCTCAACATTGGCAATACACCACTTCCTGGACAGTATATAAAAATAACAGTGCTCAGGCTCTACTCTGGACCAAATAAATCAGACTGTCAAGGAGCAGAACTCCACATTCATCGAAAGTTCCCCCAAGGGATTCTAATGTACAACCCCAGTCGAAAATCACTGCTCCACTCTAATTAGTACTTTAAGGAGTGAATGGGGGTCGGCAGTGTGTGTGGGGGGGTGTTAATGGGCTTTAGGGCCCCATCCTAGTCAATCAATCTAACAACACAAATAACAGTCTTGAAGCCTCACAAGTGGTACAAACCAGAGTCATTTCTAAAGACACAGTCTCAGATAACTGACTGCCCGGGCCCTGCACTGTGACATGGCAAAACCGTCACCGCTACGTTAGGGCCCAGGCTCACCTATCTTCAGAAAGCTGGAGCTGAAACAAGAAAACACAACAACCCCCTACTGGTGTTAAGAGAAAACAGAAACACACCAGCACGCCCGTGACGAAGTCGACTCCCATCTACACGCTCTCAAACCCTCCTGCCACACTGCCCCTCTGCCCTCCACCTGCACGGGGTCCACCCTGATGTTCGCTTTCGGCAGACCTCACTCATCAGCGTGGAGACGGCGGGGACAGAAAACTCTGTGATCTGCCAAAACCTCTAAATGTCAAGGATGAAACTAAGAAGCAGCTACTGAACACACACATACACATACAAGCCTGTTACATCAATATCCACTGTCAGCAAGGCAAACAAATCCATGTCACAAAAACTGCTTTTTACTTAATCAACAGCTGTGGAAAGAGCACAGCCACTACCGCTGGACCCTTCAGAGAGTCCCTCTTCCCCTCCATCATCAAGTCCTCTGCTGCCAGGTCCAGCTCTCAGCGGTCCTTCCCACCACGTACTTCTGGGAACAGCAAGATCAGACAAGCCAAAGGGTTACAGCAAGTCTGCACTGTGAAGAGCAGCAGGAGTGAAGAATGAAAACAGGCTGTAACTGAAACTATTCCAGCCCCAACAGCATAAACTTAAAGAACATGTTCCTGTGGCAATTCTGGTGGGCGCTGCAGGAAGTAAAGGAACACATGCACCCATTTTTAAAATACCCAGCCATGATTCATCTGTAAGTCTTAAAGTTGCATGAATCCCTAAATAAAAAAAGGTTACCAGGACCCATTACAAGAGAAGGTTTGAAGAGTTATGTGACTTTTTAAGTAAATTCTTATATCATCATAGATGATACCTTGCTCATTAAAGCCCAAAAAACATTAACAGAAGAAATACACACATTTCAGGAATGAGAAAATCAGAAAAAAGGGTGAAAATGTATAGCAAGGGGCTAGAGGCCTTTGTGAGGGGCAAGCAATAAAGACAAAGAGGGAAGCTGGGAGGAGCCAACGAGGGGCACTAAGTGAAGCACCCACACATACAACTTTCCTAAATCTTCCCTTTCCCCCCCTCCTCTCCTTAATCAGATCTACCAAGCATTGCTAGCAGCTAGCAATTCTCAATCTTGGCTACAGATCAGAGAAATCTGGGGAGATTTTAAGCCCTCCCCTCATCCACCCCCACCCCACAAACAGCCGTATCGCAGACAATGAAGTCAGGTTATCTGGGGCTGTGGGACCTGGGCATCAGCACCGTTTCCCAATCTCCCTGGGTAATGCTGATGCGTAGATAAGGTGGGAAGCCACTGGGTAGAAGGCAGCTGATGTAACTAACCAATTACGGAGCCTCATGTGCTATAACAGAAGAGCTTGTTCACCCTTACGTAACTCCAAATGACAAGCCAGAGATGCTCAAGCTTTCTAGAAAATATCCTGGTGTCCCTTGCTCACTCTGGGCCAACAAAGTGTGCCCTCCTGCCTTTTTTTTTTTTTGTAAAGCACCACAGTCTTGATTCCCCAACTGTTAACATTATGCCACATTTGTTTTATCATACTTCCTCTATGTTTTCAAGTTTTTTTCCTGGATCATTTTAACAGTAAGCTGCAGACATCGTATCTCATTAGCTCTAAATGTGTCAGCGTGTAATCTCTAAGAACAAGGAACTATCTTACATATCGTAATACAATAAACAGAATCAGGACATTTAACAAGGATACATCATCATAAGACCTTACTCAAAGGTCTTGAAAATGTCTTTTACGGCAACTTCACACCCATCCCCTCGGGCCAAGGTCCAGTTCAGGATCACGCGTCACAGTTACTGTCGTGTCCCCGTTTGGTCCCCTCTAATCTGAAACCGTTCTTCAGCCTCTCTCATGACGGGTTTTTTTTCGGCATGCTCTCACTTTGGGTTTCTCATGGGTGTTTTTCCGCGACTACACTGACATTACGTGTTCTGGCGGGCACCCTTCATGAATGATGGGACGTTCTACTCAGCTGTTCTCAGCGCACCACATCAAGAGGGAAAGAATGCTAACCTGTTCCATTATTGGGGATATTAACACTCAATACTTGGTTGTAGAGAACCGCCCTGCCTGGTTTCAGAAGCTCTAGCCCCCATGGCTAAGGCTGAGTGAGAGCCCTTGGGACGCTAAGCCCCTAAGGAGACAAAGCTTTTATCTCCCTGGCAGGGACTCCACCTCTGCCCCCTTTACTTCACCCTGCTTGGCCCCGAGTGGAAGACCAGTTAGCCAATGACGGGTAAGATTCCTCAAGGGAGGGACAAAAGAAGACAGCACAGTCACAAAGGGGCCCTCAGGGAAGGACTTGGGGGGGGGGCTATAAAAAAGGGAGTGAGAGATCTTCACCCCTCAGCTTTTACACAGCCTGAGTCCTCATTCTGTCTGAGAAGTCTCCTGATCTCTTGCTGCCTTACCTCCCCTGCCTGACTTAAGCCTGAAACAATGACAGAGGGCAATGCAGTGCAGTGTGTGCTGGAAAGGGTTCCCTGGGCTGGTCGGGCCTAAGAAATGATGCATAAAATCCTGTGAAACCTGCTTTGCTAAGAATGCCCTCAATTTAAATGATAAGGGTCCAAGTGTGACATGAGTTTGTTTCCCTGAAGTTTTATGGCCCCTTAGCTCTCTGACCATGAGACTAAAGAAGCCCTCAGAGTACTTTGAATGTCATCTATTGTTTGTTCCTTACTGCCTGACAATGACTGATGCGCTTCACATGCACACCCTGTTCCTATGCAAATCAAACCCAATAAAAGCCCACTGAGCAACAGGCTCCTGGCCCTTCTCCTTTGAGAGATCAGCCACCCTTCCTTCCCAAGCAGATCATGTCTTGGTAGACTTGGTCTCATCTGTGGTGGACCAGGGATTGGGGGGGGCCTGTGGGCAGAGCCCCCCACACGCACTTGGTTAAGGTGGTAATTACCAAGTTTTGCAACAGTAAAGTTACTATTTTTCCCCCTTGTGATTATTGTGACTTTTGAAAGGATACTTCTGAAACTATACAAACATCCTATTCTTCAACAAACTTTCACCTGCCAATTACTTTAGGATTCACTGATGACTTCTGCCTGAATCAACTATTACCGTGAATTATGAGCATTTTTATGTGTTGACCACTCAACAGGCTACAGTCCAATTCTTTGATCACTTCTTAAATTATCAATTTCGAATTTGACCAGTGGAAGCCCCTCCAACTGTTCTGCTCCCTGACCCGCACCATCATTTTTGAGCACCTCCTTTCTTTTGCTTTCTGGTGTGAGATGTTCATGTTCCTCTTGTACTTTCTCTCGACCCAGCCTTGGAATCAGTCATTCCTCCAAGGAGTCCTGATTCCATTCTGGGAAACAGCACTTGCAAATCAAGATCTGGGTAATCAGGAAATTAGGACATTTAGCAGGAAACCCCACCCGTGTTAGGGTGGAGAGTATGACCCACACGCAGTGGGCACTCAGTAAATACTTACTGGATAAATGAGTAAATCAAAGTAGGACACCGCAGTGTTCTTCAAGACCAATCTTAGTAAAATCTGGAGACAGTCAGGAGGTTAAGGTCAGTACCCATCAGAAGGGAAACCAGAAAGACCCACCCTGGGGCGGAGAAGTGAGCTCATTTTAGCTTCAGGAGGAGAGGAGAAAAGGCACGTTTGAGAAGGCCAGTGTTAGAGAGTAAGAAGAAGATATCCTGCCCAGAACACTCCAGGAGACGCGCTGGCCCCCAGGAACGTGTGCAGCCCCGCTGTGGGACCCAGCGGCCTGAGAAGAGTGGAGCCGGCCCGCCTCGTCGATGGCACTGGGAAAGCACTGCTGCGTTTAAGGAGAGTTTCACAGAAGATAAGGAAGTTGGACTTTCCCAAGAACCCTTAGTTCCTAGGCTAACAACATTCACTATGAAATCCAGTATTATATTTCTGAGTACAAAGATGGTGAGTTAATAAATTCAAAGCTATTCAAGTAATCTATGACCTAAAAATCAAAATACTGACTTCAGAGGTTCCTGTTTTAAGTACAAAGAATGTTATCTTGACAAAGCTTAGCCAAAGGAAGAGGCAGACCTGCATGGAGGGATAAGAATTTACCAAGTTTCTTGCATTTTTTTTTATAACCTCATTTTCTTCAGATACAGTTTTAAAAATTATATGTATGTATGTGCATAGAGAAAGACTGAGGCTACACACGAGGTTCCCTCAGGAGCAGGAAGAGGAAAGCAGAGAACTTCCATTGTTACTTTATACGTATCTCTATATAACAGTGTTTCTTGTTACAAAACATGTATTTCCAAGAGAATCGGTGAAAGAGAATACATGCACTCAGATCTATCAGTCTTCAATGGATCAATGTCAGATCCTCTCCTCTTACCACGACAGAACCTTCAAAATCAAACTGAAAACCTGCACCTGAACCTCCCCAATGCACTTTTCCATAGGAGCACCAGACCCCAGTGAGACCGCCCACAGCACGCGTGTCCGCAGAGGCCAGGACACTCTACTCGGGACAGTCCTACAACCTGACTCCGAAGCCCTCGGAGCTCTGAGCAGGTTCTCAGACTTACCTTTCTTATTGGTTGTGAAGTACTTGGAGTCAGTCATGGTGTTGTTGGCTCTTTAATGTGTACCTACAGCGAGAGAAAAGAATTCCTTCACCTAAATTATTTATGTCCCACAGGTTATACATTAATTTTAAGAACATTTACAAATCAGAATTTCTGAATTCAAAAGTGAGTATATTCCACCCTGGCTGGCTGGCTGGCTTGGCTGGAACACTGTCCTGTACACCCAAAGGCTCAGGTTCAATCCCCATTCAGGGCGCCTACGGAAGGCAACTAATGGATGTTTCTTTCTCTCTTTCCCTTTCTCTCTTCTCTCTCTCTAAAATAATTAAACAGCCCTGGCTGGTGTGGCTCAGTGGACTGATCACTGGCCTGTGACCCAAAGGGTCACCAGTTTGATTCCCAGTCAGGGCACACACCTGGGTTGTGGGTCAGGTCCCCAGCTGGGGGCACACAGGAGGCAACCAATAGATGTTGCTCTCCTTCTTTCTCCCTCCCTTTCCCCCCTAGAAAGAAACAGAATCTTTTAAAAAATAAAAATAAAATAAAATAATTAAACATATCCTTGGGTGAAGATTAAAAAAAAAAAATCAGTATCTTCTTCCTTACCACCATCACTAGTGAGTCAAGGGATGTAAAGGTAATTAAGAACATAGCTCTGGCCTTAAGGAGCTAATTGGGGCAAAAGCCAAATGGAATGGAGTGATAATCCGAACCTATGGTGGCTTTGTGATTCTAGTCACAATTATCTCCTAAAAGGCTCCAAGACCTAAAAACTAGGCCTTTTCTAAATACATCTTCAGTCACTCAAGTTTGTTGAGAGATACCCCCCTTGCCCTCCATTCAGGAAAAGCTGATTTACTTCCCTGCCTGTGAGATGCAGTCGCTTGGAAACATGTATTCTGAAGCCGAGTGAGGTCAAAGGAGAAAATAAGTCTGCCAGTCTATTCTGCCAACCTGGTGGTGCCGCCGACGGCCGCACCGTCACACGCAACTCTCCATAGAAGACTCGTAAATAAAGCCCAACTCAGCAGAGCACTCTGTCGACAGACATCTAGAAGGGCAAACAGCTCTACTCATGGTGTTTTCAGGCTATGATTTTCATTACTTCCAACATTTAGCCCAAAGTATGCCCAAAGAATATCCAGTTTACAGCTAAAAACAAGGTTAAAAACCCACAAACAAACTGAGATATCAGAACCGGCATGAAAGCTCAAAAGAACACAGATCCCAGCCTCAACGCGAACTCCTGCTCCAACGTCCAGAACTGACCCAGCTGACACGTGCCTTTGCCCGTAAATGAAAACTGCGTGGACTGGTCACACATCTCCCACAAAATATGAAAAAGTTGTCTGACTTCAGAAACTTGCAGCAAGACTTCCATTTAACATACCTATTTTTAAAATACATTAAAATTTTCTTTTAATAACATCCCTTCTGGCCCTGGCCAGGTAACTCAGTTAGTTAGAGTGTTGTTCTGATTTACTAACATTGCGGGTTCAATTCCCGGTCAGGCCACATACAAGAACCCACCAATGAATGCATATGTAAGTGGAACATCAAATCGATGTTTCTTTCTCTCTAAAGTCAGCATAATAACAGTAAATTTAAAAGTTTAAGAAAATAACAATATTCCTTCTGCACCTAAAACTGAGTATCTCCTTCCTCACCACCACCGCTAACCAAATACTAATCACCACACTTAGGGCAGATGCCCTGGTACCTGCTCATGACTGTCAGGTCGAAACAACACAAGTGATAATATATTCGGCAAACTTGAGTGACAGCCCCTTTGGCAAGCAATGGTAAATATGGGTCTGAGGAAAAGCCCTAAGCACTAAACAGGTCAATGTAACTATGGAAGAGGGAAAAAAAAAGCCAGAAAACATAAAACAATGAAAAAAGCTTGGCTCAAATCATCTCTAAAATATGCTGCTTAGTCAACCTTAGAGAAATGAGACTCACCGGCCATCTTTCCAAGCAGCTGCCTCACTATTTCCAGTCCTGACCCTCATATGACAGCACCTTAAGGTTCACCAGAACTTTACTGAATCACCTCGTTAAAGGCGAGCCAGAGCTCACAAGCACTATTAGAGAACGCAGAAATGTTCTGATTGCATTTTATAATAAAAAAATTAACCTGTAAGCCTTGCCTTACACAATATCTTTATAATGCCTTTCTAGCAACAATTCAAAAACAATGTATAAGCATTTAATCCATTCACAATGTAAACTAGTGGGAAGCGGGCAAGCGGAAGACAAGAGATTTTCACACAGGAAGACCTGGAGAACTTACACACACGGGAAAAGCCAGCCCACTGAGGCGGCTCCTGGGGCTGACTCGAGGGCCGCAGCCCAAGGCCATTACAGTCTATCTAGGGTGTTACCATGCAATTGTAAGTCCCATGTGATCATCAAAACTGAAGATTTAAAAACAAAATCTGCTTGGAATTTTTCACCCAGTTTCTTTGGAAAAAATGGCACAAAAATAATTGTTTGCTTAAAGCTTTCATACACATACACACATGTTAACTTCATGTTAGTTTCATACAATCTGTTAAATATTCAATTAAACTAGTCTCAGAGCCTACCTTTATTAATGACCCACACACTTCATTACTTCTAACAAATTTCACGGTCAAGGCTTTGTATCTCTGTCCTATTCACCGTGAGCCTTATATGTTCTTAACCACAGATTAATGCACCCACCCACAAAATTTCAGGGAAGAGGAACGAATTCAACATAATCTTAGACTCTAAATTAGAATTCCAGCTCTTAAAGAGAATGGGAAAACATCTTCTCTTAGCTCACTCTGTAGATACCAGCAGTAATGAAATGTCCCTCGCCCACACTGGCAGGGAAACATTGCATTAAGTCAGTTCCTGCCTTAAACCAACAGAAACACCAAGAAAAATGAAAATAGTCTAAATAAAAACAAGTAAGAGGTGGTGGTTGGGCAACAGTGAATGTATAAAATGCCAGTAAACAACTCACTTTTGAGTGGTTCATTTTATGTTATGTGAATGTCATCTCAAAAAATTACATTTGTATGCATATTTTAAAATGAGATACACTTCATCACATGCCAGAGATGAACATAACCAGATTCTGGGAAATATGGGATGGTGAACACTGTTGTCTACATTAGAAGCCAAAGAAGCAGCAGCCAAGACAGAGCTCAGGAAAACATCAAGAGTCTCAAAAATCAAGCTCCTGGGGGGAAATAAAATACATTGTCCCTTCAGGAGAGCCCCAGGAAAAAGCAAAGCCATCTGGGAGTTTGAGCTCACATTACCCTTCTACCACATCAGACTGGACAAGTCCTGGCTGTTCTGAGGACCTGCCACGTGGCCTAGGGGCACAGTTAAACAACAAGGCTGCCACAGGCAAAGCACACAATCACGCCTGCTTATCCCAGCCCAGGGTGTACGTCACTGCTTTTCACAGGCCTACTCGTACAGCATTGTACAGCTAGGTTTAACATAACCTAGTTTCCACTAAATATAGACTGTGAAAGTCCCTTCTCTCCTTTCCTCCCTCCTTCCGGTCCCCCTAAAGATAATAAGGCCAGGAAAAAAATTAACAGGGTCTTAATTTCAAATGGCTCTCTGGGAAATAGCATCTAAATTGAGAGTTGATGAAGCCACTAAATCCCATCTTTTCACTTAAAGATGAGCTTTCCACAGTCTGGTGCTTATACTAATAAGATGGCTAAAGAATTAACCAAAGTATAAAGCAGAAAGGTCATTCCAACAATCTTTTATTTCAAAGGTTAGAGGTGCTAATTAGGTATTTCTTTAATAATGCAAAGACAATAGCATCTTCAGGTGTCATTTAGCTCATAGAAAATTATAAAAGACACCTAATTACAACAGACACACCTGTGACTGCATTTACATGTGACAGACTATAAGGCAATTTGCTAATACTATACAGTGAGAAAGGAGCTCCAAGTTGTACATCCAACTTCTAACTGAAATAACAAAAAAACTCTGGAAAACTTAAACCTAGAGTGAAAGGAAGAAAGAACATATTCTAACTTATTCATTCCTTCTTCAGCTTGGTTCAAACCTCAACCTAAAATGTACTTTAAAATATGGATCTCTTTTTTAAGAAAGATACAAGAACTGGACTTGGAGTCTCTTAATTTTGTTGGTTTTACATTAATTTTACCACCCAACTTTCAGTGAGGCTGTTTGCAGAACACACGATCTTTCTGCCTCCTGGGGAGTTTAGGATACCTGCAGAGTCTCACCTTACCACTCGCTTAGTCATCACCGGAATGCGCTGCATTTTTCCTGTGCAGCTGCATCCCCTTCATCTGGTGCTTCCTATTTACTACCTGGCAAGTGTTCCCTGAGGCTAAGCAAGAGAAGTATACCAGGAAGATTATCAATAATTTGAACTGTTTCCTCACTGAGACCACCTTCCTTTGTCATTCTGCCTTTTCTAAACTTACAGCAGTTTCTTTATATTAAAAAATTCCATTGATTATGGTAACTGTCTGGCATTTAGAAAGACACTTCTTTAAAAAAAAAAACAACACGTTATTCACACTGCTTCATAATGAAACAGCCAAGTGTGTTCCGTAAGAGCCTCAAATAGAAGACTAGTCTGAAAAGAGCATGAATAAATTCTTCGGACTCAAAGGATCTGGAGGTAACAGGAAGTTCCAGTTTCTTTGCCTCTGGCTTAATCAACAGCCTTTATCAAACCAGATCATTTTTGCTAAATCCAGAATGAAAACATTCCGGGCTAAGGTTGTACCCCCACTTACTTCCCCTCTTTCACAGCGGGACAGTTGTGGAGGTTTTCTTCCCTTACGTGTCAGGAATTCCTGTTCCTTCCCCAGATGGTCAGCATGGTAGGGGTTTGTCCCTCCTTTAGGGGGTTAGGGAGAGGTGACTCTCAACCTCAAACTAAAGGAGCTGGGCAAACCACTGGGGGAACCCCTTTCCCCTTCGGCTGGCTGGACGGCCCAGGCTCTCTGTGAACCACCCCAAGCGGCGAAGGTTGGTTCTCCCCTCGGCCTCCAGCGTCCACCGGCCACACCCCTGGCCTTCGGCTATCCTAACCACGCAGCTTCGAACAGACCAACCCGCTGAGGCTCCCCAGCTCCCAGCCGCCGCACCCGAGGATTCCCTCCCGCGGCCACAGCGGAGGAGTCCCTTTCTCCAGCCCTCTTCCTCAACGGTCACACCCGACGGCTCACTCCATCCTCAACGGTCACGCTCCTGGGATTTCCTCTCATCCGCCCGCCCGTCTCCATCCCAACCTGGGGTGCTCCCCCCCCCAGCTCCGGAGCATCAGTGAGGGAGGGACACACCCCAAAGTTAGCCAGCTTGAACTCACCGGAGGAGAGGGCGGGGGTGGCGGCGGCAGCCAGAGAGCACGGCCCGGGTGGTGTTGTAATGGTTTCCTGCACGTCACGACTCCTATTCCAGGTCTAAGCCACTGCGCAAAACCCACTTTGCCAGGGACAAAGATGGTGGACAGGAAACGCCAACGTCGGCGCGGTGACGTATTCTCCGCGCGCCGGGGAAATACGAGGCGGCGATCTCGGTCGCCTAGGAAAACCAGGGACTTTTGCCAGGTCGGCAAGAGGCCCGCCACCAGCGTCTCAAATGATGTTTAGTGTCTATCCCAAGGGAAGTAGTTAAAAAACAAAACAAGCTAGTATTCTCTGGATTTGTTTGCTCGCACAGAAGTTCAAAAACCTTACTGAAATATTCTGTTCCTTACTCAAAAAACAACTCTGCTAATTGCAGGAGTGTGGAAAATGGTGATCCAGCCCACGTGTCTACACTGGCGGTAGGACAAAAGAGTGGTACGAGGAAAAAAGGCTGAGATGGCATCAGATCCGAGTTCAGATCCCTGCCTTGAATGTGACTGGTAAAGCGACCTAAGGGTTCCTCAACCCCAGTCCTCTTATCTGAGAAATGAAGTTTCAAATGAGGGACGGTACGTGTATCTTTCTTCCGTATGTGAAGCCAAAGTGCGATAAAGCACGTTAGGCACCTAGCGTGTAATAGATGTGCTTACATAAAAGTTAAGTTCCTTTTGTTAGCCACAACCTGGAAACCTCTATACCTTCCCCTCAAGTTTACTGTGAACCTAAAACAACGGCTTTAAAATCGTCTTTTTGAAAATGTGGAGATAGAGAGCACACCTGGGGCAGGAGTGGAGAAAAACAATTCGAAAGGGACCAAGAAGGAGTAACCAGAGAGGTAAAAGGAAAAGCAGGAATTATAACGTTTCAGGATGTTTTCAGAGTTCCATAAAAGTAGGAAATATATCCATCTGGTCACTCTTGTACTTCTGAGGTCTAGCCGCCGCCCCCCCCCCGGCAAAATTTGTTGAATTAATAAATGTGTAAGTGAGTAGTCAGTAATATCAACAGCCATAGAGGTAAGGAGGAGAAGCTGGAAAGTGTCCAAGGATTTACAACACAGTGGTCTTTGATGGCATTGCTGTCAAAAGCCACAATGAAGGCAAAAGCCACAATGCAGAAGTTTGAGGATGAATTGAGGTGTGGAAATGAGATCAGGAGTTACAGATGACTCCGTAAAAAAGTATGGCTGAAAAGAGAAATAATATAAGATGGTATTTGAGGGAAAGAAAAGCAAGATTCTTTTTATTCTATACTCACGCATTTTCCTTATACTATCCCCTTAGCAGTACCATGGGTTCAATTTTCTTTACTACCCATATGACTCCAATATCTCTACTTCTGGTCATGACCTGTTCCCCAAACTTCACATATTGCTAACACTGGTGGGTAATTCTATAGTCCATCCAAACTAAGCAAATCATAAAGGAATGAGGGCTATGGAAGAGGGTTGAAAACGCTGGTTCCAGGTCCAACTCGTAGCAGATAGAGGTGGATTTTGTCAAAAAGATGCCACCAGAAAAATCTTAAAGAACGTTGATTCATATCTTCCCTACTCAAAAACTTTCAACAGCTCCTCATTGCTTACTATCTTCAAAACCTGTTCCTCCCCATCTGCCTTTTTCTTTAGTTTTCTCACTAATAAAATGAGAAAAATAGTAACATCCAATCATAATATTGTGTAGGGAGCCACCAGCAGCCATCCCTTGACACAGTCGGGACAGATGAGATGCATCTGCACAGCAGAGGCAACTGTGGCTGGACTTCCGGTCTATCTCTCCTTGCATGTTTGTCTTTGCGATGAATAGGTGGTGGGATTTTTAGATACCTGTATTTCAGGCCCAGTGATCCGCAGAATTCCAATGAGGTTGTACAAAATGATTTCTTGGCCAGAGAACAAAGTCCCCTCTAATGAAGTAGCCTCTGAATGTCTAAAAGTTGGTGGTGTAGCTGCCCCTCCTCTACCTTGGACAGGAATATAAATTAATGGAATTAGGCAAAGAAGCAGGGGAAGCTGGTTAGCTATTACAAACAAAGCATGTAGAAACGATTACCAAGGAGTCAGAGTCCATAGTACATAAAGAAACATTCTAGACAGAAAGATAAGTTAAGTTAGACACCACAAAGGCTTATAATGAATTTCCTATAACCACTGTCTAGCATATCCTTTTGACCCATGCCAAATTTTAAGACCTTTAATTAACATCCATTCATCAATGAGACATTTAAAACTCTGTATATACAGCTATTTCTAATTGTCTGACTGATGGCTCTCCTGATCAAAACAACCTTTGGGTAACATGACTGGGTTTGTGGAATTTCCTGTATTTTCCCTAGTTACCTTTGTATTGATTTTTTCTGCTTAACTGATCATGGCGTGCAGTTGTTTCTTTAATGATATGTAACAATCCCTATAAAAATAAAGCTTAAATCAAACTCAGAGAGTTCAGTCAGACCCTCAGAGGCTGGCTGTTCTCTGGCATTCAATTCGGTATCTGACTCTTCATTTGGCACCTGCACCGACCATCCTTTGGAGACCCAGAGACCTGCCGAGGCTAGACCCCGGCACCCCAGCACCCCGGCACCCCGGCAATATTGTTACAAGGATGAAAAGAATTAGTGTATGTAAAGCACTTAAAACTATACCTGCACATAGTATGGACTATGTATTTGGTTGGCCAAAAAAGGCCACTTAGTTTTTTCCATAAAAGGCACATTTTTCATTTTCACCAATAACTTTATTGATTTGGATATTTTGAGTATGTTGGCCATCTCCCACTATTGGTTTCTAGTGGGTAGAGGCCAGGGGTGCTGCTAAACACCTTCCAATGCATAAGGCAGCCCCACAGCAAAGAGTTATTTGGCAAAAATGTCACTAGTACCAAGATACTTCACAAACCATTTTTGACATGTTGGATCAGTCACGGCACCTTCTCCATACACCGCACAAATCTTTTTTTGCACTGCAGTTGTGTTTTTACCTTTCTTGAAACAATAAAGCATAATATGCCAAAAAATGTTGTGTGTTTTCTTCCATCTTCAATATTAAATGGCTGCACAGAAATTCACCAATTTTGGTAAGTTTTCCTTAAATGCACGCTGACATCACAGCTGTCACGATACAATCTAACAAAATTGTTTCAAATGAAGTTAAAGGCAACCAGGTGCTACTAGAGCCATTGTGTGGGAAAAACTAAGAACGTTTTTGGCCAACCCAATACAGTAATTAATAATACTTGAATAAAATGTTTTGCATACTCACAACTATAAACCTACTTTTGTCCCATCCTGTATGAGGTTAGAAACATTATTACCTTTGGTTATATAGGATTTCCTTTTAAGCTAGTGTGAATTGCTGGTAGTTACCTCTCCCACTAAACTCATACCACATTAACCTAATGGCTCTTAATACAGTTTAATGTAAGTCACAGTTTAATAGCAATCACTTGTTATGTCTTATCTATTAAAACATAAACCTGAGAGTGGGATTTGTGATAAGGTGTTTATTAATGATTGACTTCCTTTCCTTTTTCTTATGTAATAACTTGTTTACTTTTGGCGTATCCTTAAAGGACTATTAATCGAGATGTTTTGCCCTCTTCTGTCTGGGTGACACTGGAGAGAAACCCCGAACCAAGGCAAGGCAATAGGAATTTGAGTACAGTGACAGCAATCTGTTGAAGCTCATTCATTCCAACAATGTTGCCCGAATGAGACTTTGCTAATTCTTGCTCAAGACATCCAATGGGATTGTGTAGTTTCCGTTCCTTCAGAGCTGGATTTCCTCATTTTGTTAGCTACTCCATATACTTCTAACAAAGTTCGCTAAAGTAGCCTGTTTCTCTTGCTTTTAACCAAAGAACCACAATTGATCCAAATGTTTAACTAACTTTCCACTTATTTCAGTTGGTGTTATTTCTGAACTTCTTTATGCTGTTCACTTAAGAAAAGCCTGTATAGAACAGCTACCATTGACCAGGCACCTAACATGTACCAGGTACTTGACAGAAACCTTATGTCTAGTCCTTAAACTCTGTAAAGTAAAATATCTTTATCAATGGGACTTTCTGTAGCAGGCTTTTTGGTAGAGTAAAAAAAAAAAAAAAACAAATCACCTTCTAGAACTGTAAGGTTAACTTGCAAGATATTTCTTTCCTATTCATAGAACTAAACCCAAACCGTTTCTGAGGGTTTTCACAAACCAATGATCTGTCTTCATACCGCAAGGACCTCTGAGCAGTGAACAACAATACCTTTATTTCCAGCTATTTAGCCCAGGGGTTAGCCCGGCCTCTCGCGGGAGTTCTGGAGAAAGAAGACAGGTTGAACCTGCACTCGAATCCAAGTTCAATAAACCTGTATCAACAATTCAAACAAGGCGAAGGTGCATATGATGTCAAAGCACTTTGTAAACCGTAAGGTAAATTACACTAACTTTGGTACACAGTGCCTTTTGTCTCAAGCCTCCCCAGTTCGCGCCAGGTGGAATTCAGCAGGATTCTCTCGTCTCAGCACTGTATTCGAAAAGCTAATGTGACACACTCTCCCGTGTACGAAGACAGGAACCGCTTACATCTGCTGTAGCAAGTGCCTAGAGGACTGCTCGAATGCATTCCAACGGAGACGGGCGGGTAAGCTACCAGCTTGGACGGAATGCAGTCGTCCCCAGCTTTGAGGAACCACAGGAAGCTTTCTCATTCTAATCATCTTTATTTATAATTGGCAGCATACAGCTAAGGTCTCCATCTCCAGCTACGTCACTTCAGATCTTTCTCGGGGATCGCGTCACTTAAATTCACCTCCACCCTGCCGAGCCTACACTGAGACCTTTCCACCCCCACACGTCCTTTCTCCCTCCGCCCCTAACTTGATCGCGCACAGGACCGAGTTCTGGTGCCTGATGTCTGCGCTCCGAACATCTTGTCAAAAAAAAACCTCTTCAGAGACTCAGAACTCTGGTTTCCTACCGAGAGCGCGATGCCGAAGTTACTAACAAAGGCAAACAAGTAAAATACCCTGGGCCAAGGGAACCGCCAAGAGCCCGGCCTTTATTTCAGCAGGGGCGGAAGCGGAAGTACTAGTGGGATCATAGAGTTTCCTAGTTCCGGCTTCCGGGCCCATTAGGAACTAGAGCGCCTCTCCTCTGTTGAGGTTCCCCAGTACTGGTGGCTTCTCTTTCCGGGTGCAGCTTCTGTCATAAAGCTGAGACCTCCCTTCAAACGTGGCGTCGTGGGTCCTTCGCGCCTCGCCGGGGGTCAGCGTGCAAGGACGGGCGCGGGCAGGGTACTTACCAGGCAACAGCCGCCGGCGGTCCGAGTACCGGGTCCGCACTGGTGCCTCCAAGCCCTCCGGATTGGAAGCCCTGATTCGCAGCCTCCTGGACTGCATTTGGAGAGGACAGCACTCCTTGGCCCGTACCTGTACCCCAGTCACTCTCTGCCCTGTGAGGTGCAGCATTTCACAAGTCCCTCTATACCACTTCCACCCACGTCTGTGTTAAACTTCATTCTTAACCTCGAGACTCCGTCCCCTCTACCTCCAGAAGTGGTCTTTTCCCCCAGTTCCCGTAAACATTGGGAGTTAAGTTTTGGATGCCCGGCAAAGATTACTTGTAAGATTGAGCACCCATTCGATCCCCCGAACAAGTTCATGCTTGCTAGAGAGCTTGTGGGCAAAGTGAAACCCAGTGCGCACGGAAAACTATGGCTGAGCACGGGGCGCACATCACCACTGCTTCCGTGCAGGATGACCAGCCATCCATCTTTGAGGTGGTAGCCCAGGACAGTTTAATGACAGCAGTGAGACCCGCTCTTCAGCATGTGGTCAAGGTAAGGTATTATTTCTTTAAATGGTTTTAGGGACGGCTGGCTAAAAACCAAACCAATACTTTATTTGGTAGCCTTTGAATTGACCAATTAGCATATTATTCATATTCTATGGTTGAACGGTTACTGAGTCCCTGTTCCGTGGAGAGTCCTGTAATGAGCACCCAGCACTTCAGGTAGGATAGGGTCGACCCCAAAAGAATCTCAAAGTGTAGACTTCAAAGGGAAAAAAAGCAAATGCAAATATAAGGCATAGCAGCTGTGAAATGGAATGAATTTCGTTTATTAATATACTTTAATTTAGGTTCTCGCGGAATCCAATCCTGCCCGCTATGGCTTCTTCTGGAGGTGGTTCGATGAAATCTTTGCGCTGCTAGATTTTCTGCTCCAGCAGCATTACTTATCCAAAACCAGTGCCTCGTTTTCCGAAAACTTCTATGGCTTAAAGCGGATTGTAACAGGGGACACACACAAGCTTCAGAGACTGGCCAGCGCTGGCCTCCCAAAGAAGCAGCTTTGGAAGTCAGTCATGTTCCTGGTTCTCCTTCCATATCTGAAAGTGAAACTGGAGAAGCTGGTTGCTAGCCTGAGAGAAGAGGATGAATATTCTATCCACCCCCCTTCTTCCCGCTGGAAACGACTTTACAGAGCCTTCCTGGCAGCCTATCCGTTTGTTAACATGGCCTGGGAAGGCTGGTTTCTTGTACAGCAACTTCGATACATCCTGGGGAAAGCTCAGCATCACTCACCGTTGCTAAGTCTGGCTGGAGTCCGGCTAGGTCGCCTCACCATTCAGGATATACAAGCTCTGGAGCACGAGCCAGCTGAAGCCAGCATGATGCACCAACCAGCCCAGAGGTAAGGCCTCAACACTTCCCCCAAATATTTAACAAAGTCTAAAAGCTTACTTTATAATTTTAGGAAATCACCTCCCCCAGTCCACTTTGAGCTATTTCATAAACCATAGAAACATTCTGTGTTCATAAAACAAGGATTACTGTCCTGGTAACTCACCTCCTCACAACTACATTTTTGTGTATGCTTGCTGTAGCCAGGCCCTGAGCCAGGTATTTGCTTTAAGTACATCACCTCAATCCTCATCGCAACTCAATGAAATAAACTCATTAGCCCCATTTAACTGTCGGGGAAGCTAAGCCTTAAAAGCTAAGTACCTTGCCAAGGCCACACAGCTAGAAGGTGGCAGAGCTGAGATTCAAGCCAGATCAACACAATTCTCAAGACTGCTCTCAACCACAATGCTATTACTTCTACTTAGTGTTCATGTTCTACAAGTTCAAATATATATATTCCTCAACACTGCGCTAATTTTGGTTGAGTTGTTTTTTTTTCTGGATACACACACACACACACACACACACACACGGTCTCTGTAATCAATGTCTCACTAATTTCTCAAAATACACCCCCCCAGAAAACCAGCCATTAAAAACAAAACCTAGCCTCTATACTCTTAAATACCATAAGTCAGAAAGAGGGGATCGTGTGTAATACGACCTCAAGGAGGCAAGCCAATCTAGCAGCTGTTAAATCCCCAAACTGAATTGGCAAGTCTGATGAAAAGTGAAGAACTACATTTGTGTCACTCACTCTGTGATTGTACCTAAATAAAGCTTCTCCTTTTGCCTCCTTGTTCTACTCCAACAGTGTTACTGAGAAGATAAAGTGGGCCCTGAAAAAAGCTGTGGGGGGCGCCGCCTTATCCCTGTCTACGGGCCTTTCTCTGGGCGTGTTCTTCCTGCAGTTCCTTGAGTGGTGGTACTCATCTGAGAACCAAGAAACCATCAAATCACTGACCGCCCTGCCTACGCCCCCACCGCCTGTCCACCTGGACTACAATCCCGATTCTCCCCTGCTACCCAAACTGAAGACTGTGTGCCCACTGTGTCGCAAAACCCGGGTGAACGACACTGTCCTTGCCACCTCTGGCTATGTGTTCTGTTACCGCTGTGTGTTGATTTATGTCAGGAGTCACCAAGCCTGCCCCGTCACAGGTTACCCAACAGAAGTGCAGCATCTGATTAAACTGTACTCCCCGGACAACTGAAAGGGTTAGCACTGTAAGGCCCCGGGGCCGGATTCTTCAGCGTGGTACACAGCACTGTTTGATACTTCTTAGCCTCAGTTCATAATTACATGAAGTTTAAACAACTATATGGATTTCCTTAAAAGAATATATCCATTGATGTGAACTTTCTAGCCTGCTGTCTAGGCCTCAGCTTAGAGCTGACCAGGCTGGTTAGAGTCAGAGAGTCGGGATTGTCAGGGGACAGTGTAGAAGAAGTGGGTAAAATGGGATAATCAGTACAGAAGCTTTTCCTTAAAGAATAAAGAGGCACAGAGGCTCTGGGGGAAAAACCAAGTTAGACCTCTGAAAGTGAGGGGGAAGCAGGCCTTTTCTTTAGAAAACAGTGTTGATCTGCCTACGAGGAAGAGGTTGGTTGTATCCGTTTGCAAACAATGTGAAAAGTGGGCTTGCTCTTTATATTAAACACTTCTGGAAAACAGTAATAGCTCCTTCTACATACTGTGACCATTGGTTAAGTAACATCTGCTGTAGTTTATCAACTTTTAAAGATTCCTTCATGACCCATACATGTCTCTCCTGGGAAACTAGTTAAAGGAAAATAGGGGTCGAGTGTATGTATAGAGCAACCTTAGGATTTCGGTGTGAAAGCAAAGCGCTAATGAGCAGTGAAAAAATGGAGTAAAATACCGATCTAACCGTGTAAAGAAAGGATCTGTTAATAAGCTCTTTCTGCTTGCTGTTAAGAGTTTGCTACACTGGCATGAATTATTCTGGCTATTACTAAAGTTTCTGTGAAACACTTAAATAAATTTTAATAAATGATTTTGGCAAAAAGCCATCCCATGATGTCACGATTATGTGGAAACTTAAAAGATTACTCGAGGTGTTTCAAGTAAATTTCTCATTCAGACCACCTTGACTTTGGGGGCATTTTTGTATTGGTATTTTGGTTTTTGCTATTCTGATAGAGTGGGGGGACCCTCTACTCCAACAGTAAGAATGCAGCCTTGTTTGAAACATTTTGTATTAGAAATACTACAAACACCAACTTCCCTGTGTAGGAAAATGCATGCCTGGATTGGCAGGTGGGAAAAAACATGGGTTCAGAACGAAAAGTCACCATGACTGGAAGAGGAGGGGTGAATGGCACCTGTAAGTGCCTCTGCTGAGACAGACGTTTCCAATACTTAAGTGCATTTTAGCAACTCAAAGTGCACACATTCTCTCCCAGCACTAAGGTGATGATAAACCACATTCCAAAATGGAACATCCTCTGGATTTTAAAATTTAATGCTTTTATGTATCATAAGAAGAGTATACGGGGTATTTGCAAAAGTTGTTGATAAATAGCAAGGTTTTACCAAAGCAAACACATAGTTAATTTTTTTTAATTTTCTTTTCCCTTTTTTTTTTTTTTTTTTTAAGATTTCATTTATTTATCTGTAGAGGGGAAGGGAAGGAGAGAGGGAGAGAAACATCAGTGTATGGTTGCCTTCGTGCGTCCCCTGCTGGGAACTGGCCTGCAGGGAACCGGCCTGCAACCCAGTATGTGCCCTGACTGGGATTCAAACCGCGATTGTCTGGTTTGCAGGCCCATGCTCAATCCACTGAGCTACACCAGCCAGGGCACATAGTTAATTTTAAAAAATAAAACCCTTTTTAATAAGTCAATAAGGGAACTCAACCAGATTCAGGACTGAAGTAACGTAGTATTCCACGAAGGTATCGAAGCCAGATTTTTCGCCTCCGCCTATGAAAAGAAAGCATGAAAGTATCGGAAAAATTCAAAAGTATCAAAGAAACACTCCTATGTGTAACAAAATCAGTATCCAAATAGGCTAGAGCACACCAGTGTGGGAAAATCAGAATCAGCTCAGAGAGAAGATTAGGTGGTCACGCCCTGGTCAAAGCCCGAACGGAAGAACGGCAGTACCAGGTCAGACTAGACTTCGCTCATCATCGCATCACTGCATTTCGCCTCCTGTTATCTAAGGGTATTTTCGCTTCCAAAACAACTTAGGTTTACCTATGAAAAAAAGTAAAGCCTTCTTTTTAGGTCAGTTTGGGTTGCAACCATGGGCTTCCAATAAATATCTTCTACCATCCTTTGGTTTAACTTTGCTAAGCAAGTTTGGGGGGGGGGCTTTTTTGTTTTTGAAATACAGAGGCAAAAATGGGTAAGCGTTTATAGTTTAAAAACTTACAACATGCATTAGAAAAATCTCAGGGATGCCTGTGAAAAGATTTATGGTCTAGTTCTAAAGCAAAACTTTAGAAAAGATTTTCTACTAAATTCCTTTATAAACTCCAGTTCATTTTATATATATATATATATATATATATATATATATATATATATATATAATTTACAATTCTGCATACAAAGATCAAAGGTAGGCTAATTTTTTTATACCAGAATCTTCTATCTTAAGAGTCCAAGACCCAGAGAAGCTATGATTTGCCAAGATTCATTGCAAATTACCAGCAGAGCTAGAAAGAGAACTGAGATCTGATGACCAGATGTATATTTTTCCACAATCAGCTAAATATAATTTCATTTTTCTCCAAGGCACGTGCTAAAAGAAGCAATGTAAAGCCTGGGTAATTCACAGCCTGAATAATTAATTTCTGAATGAAAACGCTGGTTGCATTTCATTTATTTTAAATGGCACCTGATGATATACAATCGCTGACACGGAAAAGTACTAGGATTACATGTCCCCCTTTCCAGCCTTTCAGCATGGTATTGTCGGTATCTACGTAACAATTTTGGAAACACCACATGCTTCCTTCGGCCCCCTCTAGATATTAATAGATTGATGTTCTGTGAAACTGACCACTGTTGGTCTGCGTTTGCCATTCAGCAGCTAAGCTCCATGGGGGAGGGGCAGTATAACAAAGTGCCTGTTTTACAGGAGCTATGCCTGAGCCTTAATCTCATCATCCTCTACACGCGGCCACTTTCCCAACTTTCTTCTTTAATACACTTCGCTCCATCTGGAATGCTTGCCCCACCCCTTTCAATCTGGAGAACGTCTAATTACAGTTTTGAAACCTCACTCAAACGTCACCTTCTCTGTTAAGTGGTTCCAAACTCTACCAGTCATTCCCTCCTCTGACCCCCCACAGCACGAATCACACGCCAGTTACTCAGGTCCCCCACCTCCCCGTCTGCCCCATCAGACCCTTAAGAACCAGGGCTCTGTCGTCTTACTGGCCTTTGCATCCATTATACTCAGAACGGCGTATAGGAGGAGGCCCACTAAGTGAGCGTTTAACTCAGTCAGCGCACGACCCTCCCTACGAAATCCTAAATTACAAAAGCATCAGCACAGTTTATAAAGCCCACTTACCTGCAACGCTTCACGTAGATAAGGCCCATACCTCGAGCATCTCTAAACCCTCCTTCCCTCCCCCAGCTTCTCCCTCATGGCGCTCTGCACTGCGCCCTGCAGAGGACGACCAATCCTTACACACAGTGGACCATCAAAAATAAAATAATATCGTCCAAACACCACCAAGTTCAAGAATGACTGAGAAAAGCCGTCCTCGCCGGGAAACACGAGTAAGGCCGGAGCCAGGGCTCACAGCAGAGACGCAGGCAGGAGTCCTAAACCCTCTTCCAGAACTCCTAAAACTCCTGCCACCTAGACTTTTAAAAGGCTGGCCCGGGCCCGCGAAGAATGATGTAGCGGGCGCCCAGGTTTCTGACCCTCCGCGGTACGGGTGCCCCCACCAGCCTCAGGGCCCACCCGCTTCCCACCACCCAGTGCGGCCTTCGCCGGACAACCAATCCCGCGGCGGCCAGTGCGTCACGTGGGGTTGGTGCAAGAAACAGCCAATCGGAGGCCGGAACGAACGTCAGGGGTGGAGCTGGCGGGAGAACTGAAAGGCCTTCTCCGCAGCTACTTTGCGTAGCTAGCTCCATCTTCGGGTTTAGGGTAGTCACCTTGCAACCTGAGAGCACTCGGACCTCAGGATGACTGTAATCCCGAGTGGTTTTGCCCCTGCCTTGTTTCACAGCTGGGAAAGGGTGTCTGAGGCCGTTGTGCCCTGGGTTTCCGGGAAGAGCTCTTGAGTGATCCAACACTGCTTATTGCCAATTGTGCGGGTTCCCACGTGACGGCCAGGGGCCGGGGTGGACTTAGATGGACGTGAGGGTCTTAGTCCAAGGGGAACTTACTGGTTGGTCGGGCTCTTGTACGCTTCCTAAATAAGCAAGAAGTGCCGCAAGAAAAGTGCAGCTAAATATCAAAGAAGTGTGAGGGAGAGCAGGAAAGACTTCCTGGAAGAGGTGGCACTTGATCTGGGCCTTGAAAGATGGGTGGGGTTTCAGAATGAGGAGATTCTGGAAGAAGGAATGATTTCATTCCCGAATTAAATGAGAAAGTGTTAGGGACCTGGCCAAATTTAGGGAAAGTCGAAACGTGTAGTGTTTCTCAAAAAATGGTGAGTTAGAAACACCAGCATCAAAAACAAACTACACGCACACACACACACACACACACGCACAATATCTGGAGGGAGAAAAACAGACTTACTGAATCAGATGTTCTGGGGCCGGAGCCCAGGCATGCATATTTTTAATATTAGCCCTATGGGTGATCCTGAGTCACACCAAAGTGTGAGGGCCAGTGATGGTGTTAAAGGGGATTGTAGGAGATTTGAAAGACAGGTCAACACTTTGTTAAGAATGGTGCTTGCTGCCAGTGTAGTTCAGGCTACTCTGGAGAAAGTGAGAGATTTAAAGATTTCAGAGCCCAAGGTGATAGGAGATGAGAGATGTGCTTTAGGAAATTTCAACTTGCAACTGTTTCTAAATAGCTTGAAGGAAGGCAGAGGGAAGCTATCCTAAGGGATTACAGTGGTCCAGGTGAGAGCTAATATGAGCCTAAATTAGGACTGTGGCAGAGGAAGTGGAGAAGTAGCATATGACAACAAGCATGAGGATTGTGGTGAATGTCAGGGGTGGATAGAAGGACATGAAAAAATAAAAAGGAAGAATGGAGAAGAATGGAGGGTCTCTTGTTTCAGACCCACGAGGACATCCGCTGTCTCTGAGGACAGGAGGATAGACTGTGAAGAGGCTGTGCCTTTGCCTGTGCTGTTGCCTCTGCATTTCCGTGTCCCTCTCTCTGCCCAGTGCGGTCTTACTTGCAGATTCCAGTTCAGATACTACCTCATTTACAAAATCTTACTCTCACAAGCATAGTTATCGTCACCCCTCAAAACACCCCCGGTGCACTGTTCCTACATTTCTAACTCTCCAGAGTGGCACTCGAGTACAGTGGTCACGCATATTTGCAAGCCCTGGAAATGTAAAAAGTGAATAGTGACAGCACCTTCTTCACAGAGCTGCTAGATGCACTGAATGAGAACAATGCCTAGTGCGTAGAATGTATGTGTTATATTACAGTGAGTTGTCAATACGCGTCTTCCCTCTCTAGATTGTGAATAGGACATGTATCATTCTCCTGGCTAACACAAAGGATGCATGACAGAATGATAGTAAACGGGTTTTGGAATCAGAGAGACAGGGGCTCAAACCCAAGCTCTGCTACTTATTAGGTGTGTAACCTTGACCTTTGCTCCCCTGAACTCAGTTTATTTATAAGACAGTAAAACTAATACATGTCTTACAACTTGTTATGAGGACACTTTGAGATAATCAAACTTGCACCTATCCAGTACAGCCAAGAGTACTATACCCAGCAAAGCCATCGTGTAGAATCAAAGGACAGATGAAGCACTTCCCAGACAAGAAAAGCTAAAGGATTTCATCATCATCAAAACAGCACTGCAAGAATTGTTCAAGGGTCTTTAAGGAAAACAAGAAGTCCTGGATGGTGTGGCTCAGTGGATTGAGTGCTGGCCTGCAAACCAAAAATGTTGCTGGCTTGATTCCTTCACTGTCAGAGCACATCACCTGGGTTGTGAGCCAGGTGTTTGCAGGCCAGGTCTGGGTTCCAGTTGGGGGTGTGCAAGAGGCACCCAACCCGAGAGGGGTTTCTCTCACACATCGGCGTCTCTCTCCCTCCCTGTCTCCCTAAAAATAAATAAATAAAGTATTTTAAAGAAGAAAATGTTTAAAAATACGAATGATAAATGGCCATAAAAAGAATGAAATCTTACCATTTGTGACAGCGTGGGTGGACCTAGAGGGTATTATACTGGGACTCAGGGGGTATTATGCTAAGTGAAGTCAGTTGGTCAGAGAAAGACAAATACCATATGATTTCACTTATATGTGGAATCTAAAGAACAATATAAATGAACAAACGAAACCATAACAGACTCGTAGATACAAGGAACAGTGACTGGCAGAGGGAAGGAGGATCAGGAAGAGGTACCACCGGGTGGAAACGGTGAAGGGACTGAGAAGTACTGATTGGTGATTACAGACAGTTATGGGAATACAAACAACGACATAGAAAATACAGCCAGTAATAGTGTGATAACCGTGTGGTGCCAGATGGGCACTCAAAATACCGTGGGGATCACTTTTTAAAGTATATGATTGTCTAACCACGATGCTGTACACCTGAAACTAATACAAAATAATATTGAATGTAAACTGTGAAGAAATTGAATTAAAAAAAAAGGCAGGTACCATGAATTAGGCAAGCTGCAGGCCTCCATGTGGACATGCAGAAATGACCTAAAATTAGGTTCGTGAGAGTTGCTTCTCTTCCCACTCACAAATCTGGGGTGATGTGATGTTTACGAATAGCTAACGGAGCCCCTAGTAACATTTTGCTGATTATCACCATGGCTGCCGCTTTTTTTTAACTTTATGAAATACCACTATTTGTTTACTCATTCTTATATTGATGGACACGAGTTGTTTCTTCCTTTCTTCTTCTTCTTCTTCTTCTTTTTTTTTTTTTTGCCACTCTAAATAAAGTTTTCACTTTGACGTGTGTGTGGCCCCAGAGTGGGGCACCATGTTTGGAACACAGTAAGTGCTCAATAACTGATGAGTGAGTGAAAGCTGACATTATACGCCAGGCGCCACACTAAGCTCTTCAGGTGCATCATCTCACTTTATTCTCCAAGGAACCTATGGAGAAAAGCACTATTAGCATCTCCAGTTGACACAGAAGGAATCTGAGTCTAGATTAGTTTACCCAAAACCTCAGCCCTAGGAAGTGTCAGAGCCAAGATTTCCACACCCTACTCAGTGCTCCAGTGACAGAATGAATGAAAGTTAGCAGACTGGCCCGGAGTGCGGCGGTGTGGGGAGGCAGAGCCAGCTCTGTTGCCCTTGGTCCCTGTATTCTCTCTGAATGAAGTGAGGGTGAGGTGGAGGTTGGAGGGTTGTGTTTAGTGTGCACCAAGGAGCCAAGATTCTTACTGAATCACATTGCAAAGACCCCTTTTCTTTACAAGGCAACATTTACAGGTTACTACTGCTAATAATACTAATTAATAATAGTAACAATAATTTTAATGATTAATATAATTAAAATTATTATTATTATTATTATTATTATTATTATTATTATTATTTGGTCTACTTCAAGAAGCTTCATCCAGTTTAACCAGCATTTCCAGATGAGACAACTTATCTGTTTATTTATTTATTTTTCAATTATAAAACCATTTATGTTCATTGTAGACCATTGAGAACATACAGAAAAGTTTTTTTAAGGGAAAGGAAATTAAATGAAAATAGCCGGTAATGCTCTCATCCAGAGACAGCCAGCTTCACCAATGAGCATTTTTCTAGGCTGGGTCTTGTGCCTAAAAAGAAAAAAAAAAATGAAGAATAGAAAAAAGAGAATAAAAGTAAATAGAACAGAAAAAAAATTGGAAGGTAAAGGAATAGATTAATATTGCTCATAATGGATATAGGCTGAGCAGCCTAATTCAAAATAAATGTAGGGCTTTGAAAGAAAATTAAGCAGGGCAGGAAGTGCTGCATTATATATGGAAATGATGCCAGCCCCTTAGAAGTGGGAAGTTTAGCTTTGGCCCCTCACTTGAGAATTTCTGAATCTTCCCATTACTCCCTAACTCACTGCCACATGTCAGAACCCAGCCTGCTAATCTGCCTGGTCATAGGCTTCTGTGGAGTCCTTATCAGCCTTCCTCAGTGGGTCCGCGTTGTGAGGACTGGGGCAGCCTAGCAGAGTTTCTGCTCCTCCCAGGCTGATATCAAAGGGCCACAGAGACAGGCACAGAAAGCAAACACTCAGACCCCAGCCAGATGTCGAGCGAAACAGCCAGCAGAGAAGAAGAGTATCAGGTAAAAAGAAAATTGTTTTTAATTTTTTTAACAACCTCATCTGTCTCATGTTAGATGCAGTTTCTGACTGAGGGCATGGAGGGCTTGGTAGAATGGTGGCTGAAGAGAACCTTGTAATGGGAAATGAGTGAGAACTTTGGGGAAAAGTGGAGGGGGTACTCATATCTCAACTATCTTTGTCACAGTGGTTCTAGTACAATTCTACCATTTCAAAAGCAGTTCGATCCGCCCTGGGAATCTCAGCAGGTGGAAATTTGAGGGAGCTAAATTATACTTGAAAATGAGAAAGCCATTTCTAACAGATTTGTCGGAAAGTAGAAGGGGCTAATTTGATAGGTAATGATTTGCTCATCGCTGGAGGTGTTCAAACATTTGCTGGAAAGCAGTTTGTTGGGAGCTAGGAATATTACACAGAGGATTTGAGAATCAGTCGGATGGATGGTTGGACCTGAGAACCTTTGAAGTTCCAACACGTCTGTGAGTCTATGATATGAATAGAATACTATCAGAAGTTTCTCTAAAGGGCCAGACATTTACATTTACCTACAGGAGATACTCACATATGAAAAAAATCAATCATATTGACTCTGGTTTTCTCAGGAGAAGTGAGAAGGCACCAAGAGCAAACTTTGACAGAGGAGGGTCCTGCTGAATGTCTGTTTTTTTCCTCTCAGTGGGTATAAACAACCCCCACGTGACCTCTACTTTGCAAGGATTACACAGAAGAAATGAGTTCTTCTAGAGGAAGAGTTTTGGTTTGGGCTAGTAAACATTTTATTTTGCAGTTATTTTTGCAAAGCTAAGGGGGGCATGTCTGAGTTATTTGCTTCAGAGCCCGAATTTCAATTTAGGTGGCTATTCTCTGCTCTTGAAGCAAAAGGAGGTTGACCACAGTTTAATAACTATGTCCCAAGGCCCATGTTCTTTTCCAGGAAAAGAGGATCTCATAGCACAGGGCAGGAAAACGCTTGCTCCTGTACCACACTGTATACAAAGAAACGTACTTTTAGAAGAATGTTTGGAGAGATAAAAAGAATTCTGCATTTGGTATCAATGGATAGTCTTTCAGGAGTAGAATAAAACTTTTAGAAATGTACAAAATAAGACATAAAGAACACCAAGTTTTGCGCTTGTTTTTATAGCAAGATATCTACATCACATACACTATCAAACTGAACTCCCTTAGTTCCCTATCACCCCCTTTCCTTCCCCTTTGAATTATAAACAGGAGGCTTCTTGACTTCAGTTTCTACTTCCACATATTCTCTAATAATTTTTTTCAACCCATGACTTTTACAAGATCTGGGATCACTAATGACACTTCCTGATTTTAAATTTAAAAAATGGCTAAAACATTTCAGCACTCTAAGTTTTTCATTGTGGCAAAATATTAAGCATTTACCTTTAACGCTGCCCATTCACGCTGCAAAGGCTAAGGATCTTGACGAAGTCAGAAAACAGTGATTGCAAAGGTTATTTCCATGTTACGGTCAATACATATCCAATAACTTGTAGTTTTGAAGAAAGCATTGTAATCGCTGGGATTTGTGTTAATGTCGAAACAACATTTCTGTCCTGCTTGTTTATCGGAGCCCCTTTCTCTCATTGTTTCCAGCACAGAGGGGCCACTGAGGAGGAAAATCCAGAGCCCAGCGTGGCAATGTCCTACCCTGAGATCGTCGTAGAAATGGGCACCATGACCTTTGGAGAAGAGAACAGGAAGAACATGACCAATAACTATTTGAAAAGAACAGAGAACTCTAAAATCATCCAAGCCACGTGCGCCCTGTTGAATTCCGGAGGGGGTGTGATCAAAGCAAAGATCGAAGATAAAAACTACAGTTACCGATGCCATGGGCTGGGGCAGGACCTGGAAACCTCTTTTCAAAAGCTCCTTCCTTCTGGTTCACAGAAATACCTCGACTGCATGCAACAAGGGCACAACCTCCTGATTTTCGTAAAGTCGTGGAGTCCGGATGTCTTGGGCTTCCCGCTAAGGATTTGCAGCTTGCGCTCCAATTTATACCAGAGAGATGTGACTTCTGCCATAAACCTGAGCGCCAGCGCTGCCCTGGCGCTTCTCAGACACAAGCAGTCTAGAGCCCAGAGAGGAAGACCGAGGGTGAGGGGGCCCCATCCCCAGGGGGCTCTGGACACAAACGTCCAGGAAGAGGAAGACATGAGGACGTCCGCCTCAAGATTTCTTCAAAAGGACAAGCTCATCTATAAAGAGAAAGTCGACTTTACTGAGTCAACACATGTGGAGTTTAAAAGGTTCACCACCAAAAAGATCATCCCTAGGGTTAAAGAAATGCTTTCTCATTACGTTTCTGCATTTGCCAACACCCAGGGGGGATACCTCATTATCGGGGTGGATGATAAGAGCAAAGAAGTGTTTGGATGTAAGAGAGAAAAAGTGAACCCTGACTTACTGAAAAAAGAAATAGAAAACTGCATAAAAAAACTGCCTGTATTCCATTTCTGCCGTGAAAAGCCAGAGGTGAATTTCACTACCAAAATCTTGGATGTATACCACAAAGATGCCCTGTACGGTTATGTCTGTGTGGTTCAGGTAGAGCCCTTCTGCTGCGTGGTGTTCACAGAGGCCCCGGATTCCTGGATCATCAAGGACAATTCTGTCACCAGGCTGACGGTGGACACCTGGGTGGCCACGATGCTGGGTATTCAGCCAGGTAAAGCAGAATAGGAGTCATTATTCGGTTAGTAGGGAGGAACGCCCTTCCCTGCCTTCCCAGGCTGTTGGGTCAGATATTTTACTTAAAGAACAGAAAGATATTTTGCTGAAAAATTCTCCCATTCCATGGTTCTTGTCCTAGGATTTTTAACTCCAAAGGGAGACAATAGGGACTCTCTGAGGTCAAGAAACACTTGGATTTTAGTCTGCTTTGGGAAAGTAGTAGTATGCCATCAGCCATGAATTAGTGACGGTTCCTTTTTGTGCTCTGTAAAGGCCTGTTGAAAACTTTTGCTGGCTGATATTCCTAGTCAGAAACATGCTTCAGCAGTCTTACCCTAAAGATATATCGGAGAAACATTGTGTAAGGATGACTCTCCACGAATTCACTCAACGGAAGCTTGTTGACAATTTTGAATTGTTACCGTTGACACCACGAGCTAATGGCTTCAATCTCTGGGCTTGGAGCACCACCTAGTGGGGGAAAAGCTGATGCAAAAAAAGGGCAGGAAGTGGGTGGGGCCCCGAGGACTCCAGGTGTTTTCACTTCCCCTACAGTTTTGCTCAGAATCAGCTCTGGTGATTTCTAAGCAATTAGTAGAGGACTTGTAGCCTGAACGAAGCTTATCCGTTCACCTCCATGGTGAATGTGTTCCAAATTTGATCAAAGAAGCTTGGTTCAGAACTTGAGTGATTTTATTGGATTACTCTTTCTCTCCGAAATTTGTTTTAGCTTACACACATGCACAGAGACACCCCAGACTAGAGATCCTGCCACCTTCTGTTCCATCTAAACCTTGGATTGGGACTTAAAACAACTATAACGATATAAAAATATATATGCTGTGCTTAACTTTTTCTGACTCTGCTTCTTCTAGAAGCCTTTTCCTCATAGAGATGACCTGGAATCAGAATGTTAGAGTTGGCAGGAATCTTAGGGATTGCCTCACCCTAGCATGAAAGAGAGAAGTGAAGCGACTTGCCCAAGATGAGTCACACAGTGACTTAAAGGACCAGAGACCCGCAGGGGTGGCAGGCTTCCTCGCCTGACAGATGTGAGCTGTTTGAGTCATAGAAAGTGTGAGAGCAGTTCTGCCCGATGCAAACCGCATCGTGGGAGGAGTACTTAGAAAAAGTCTTCTTCTTTTTTGCCTGAAACGATCCTCCATGTATTTATTTGTTCAGCTCCGTGCAGCTGGACCACAGACTGCAGCCTCCCCCTGGTTTCTCCAGCTTCGCCTGCACTGGGAAGCCCCCGGTCTCCCATCAAAGTCCTGGAATTTAAGGGTGCTCTCCAGCAACGTCTGTTTCCAGGTATTTCCTTCCTCACTTCAGCTAAGGGAACTGCTTATTTCTAAAATTGCATTGAGAGGAATTGATAGCAATTAGCCCAAACCGCTCTCCTTGGAGAGAAGGTCAAACACAGGACTTACCAGACACGATGTTGCAAAAACAATACATACGGCTAACACTTGCTTCCCCACCATCAGACTCACAATCTCTGTGTGCTGTGGGGCTTCTGGTCACCCATGGTTTTTCTTTCCTAAATCTGAGAGAATTTGGGAATCATCCTAAATCCCTTATTAGGTTGGTACCACGAGAGAACCGTGCCCTGGCTTTCCAATGGCGAGGCGGTGAGCCATGGGGTTCTAGAACAGTTTCTCACCCTTGGAGCTATTGAGATTTGGGACAGGTCCTTCTTTGTTGGGGGGGGGGGGCTGCTCTGTGAATTGTAGGATGTTTAGCACCATCTGTGGGTGTCCCCGTTTGCCCCCCCCCCTAGATTTGCAGTAGCACTGCTCCAGCTGTGACAATCGAAAATTTCTGGGGGTTAACCAAATGCCCCCTGGGGTGGTGTCAAAATTGCCACATGTTAAGAGTCATTGTTTTAAAGGAAGTTTCTTAGTTCCCCCGAAAGCATCAGGTTCACACACATGTAACAGGAAGTGCTGACTTCCTGGACACCAAGGACCATTTGCGGTTGAGCAGGCAGCGCAGGGGGCTGTTCTGTGAAGCGTCCTGTCTGGCTGCCCGCACGCCCCTGTATGAACTCTGCCAGCAGTGGGAGCTTCACGGCCCTGGCCTGTGAAGCGGGGGAGGGGGGGTGCTTTCTTTGCAGACAGAGAAACTGAGAGTTCCATGTCCTGACTCATTTCCTGCTAGGATGTGGCAGGAATACTCACCATAGGCTTTCTTCCATTTTAGTAACTTCCATCCTTTGAATTTTCAGTGACACAGGAGGAGATACAATTTAAACCCGAATCCCTCTGTAAGAAGCTCTTCTCAGACCACCAAGAACTGGAGGAATTCATGAAGACGCAGATAGGTCCTTATTCTCGGGGGATTGTGCTGTTTTCTAGGAGCTGGGCGAGTGACCTCGGTCTCGGGAAGGAGCAGGATGTGCTGTGCGACGCTCTCCTCCTAGCGGTGGGCAGCCCGCTGGTGCTCTACACCGTCCTGATGCGCCCCAGTGGGACTGACGGGCTGGAGTATGGCCTGAGCACTGCCCGTCAGCTGAAGCAGAAACTGGGAACGGTGGGCGGCTACGCAGGGAAAGTGTGTGTCATCCCCAGACCGGTGCACCTGCCCGGCGCGCAGCACAGTCCCCGTGACATCCCCGTGCGCTACCCCCAGTCCTACCGGCTCGCCGATCAGGAGGACCTGGAAGACTTGTTGCAGGCCCTTGTCGTGCTCTTGCTGGGCTCTGGTTCTCTTCTGGGTGACCAGCTGGGCTGCGAGTTTTTCAACTTGCTCATAGCAGAGCAGTGCGAGCTGCTTTCGGGGAGCCTGCGGGAGACCCGGGAACTGTTCGTCCACTGCCTGCCGGGAACGAGGAAGACGGCCCTGGTCGTGAACGTCGTGGAGAAAATGAGGGGCCTGCTCCAGTGCAGACCCAGGGAGATCCTCTACGTCTGTGAACACGACTCCTTAAGGGATTACGTGGCGTAAGTGTGTCCCTAACTGAACACAACGAATGTTTTTAGTCTGTTTTTTCAACAGTGTCAGAAAAGGAATTTGTGTTATTTAAGATTTTGGGCCCTGGCTGGGGCAGGTCAGTGGACTGAGGGCTGGCTTGTGAATGGAAAGATCACTGGTTTGGTTCCCAGTCAGGGCACATGCCGGGATTGCAGGCCAAGTCCCCAGCTGGGGGTACGCGAGAGGCACCTCCATGTTTCTCTCTCTCTCTCCCTCCCTTCCCCCACTCTAAAAAGTAAATAAATAAGGGGGTGGGTAGGGGATAGCAGTGGGGGGGATGGGGAAAGCTATAACTGAACAAAATTTTTTTTTAATTTAAAAAGTAAAGCACAATCTTTTTTTTAAAAAAAGATTGTATTTATTTCTTTTTAAAGGGGGAAAGGGAAGAAGAAAGAGAGGGAGAGAAATACGAATGTGTGGTTGGCTCTTGCACGCCCCCTACTGGGGACCTGACCCGTAATCCAGGCATGTGCCCTGACTGGGAATTGAACCTGCAACCCTTTGGTTTGCAGCCTGAGCTCAATCCACTGAGGTACACCAGCCAGGGCCATTCTTTTTTTTAAAATAAATACAGTCTTAAAAATGTTTTGCAATGCCTTAACTACATAAATGGAAGAGCCCAAACATTTCCAAGCGATCAGGTGGTTGAGCTATAAATGGGTACTTCCCTATTTTCCGGTTTTCAACATCTCACCATGAATTAGCCAATTGTGCATAAGCTTAAGTTTATATAAAACCAGAAACCCCTTCCACAATCATCTGTGACCTTACATTTAAGGAAAGTAGAAATGAACCTATCTTGCTTTAAATAAACACTTTGTTTGTTACTTAATACTTTATAGTCATAGGGTATTTCAGTGAATTAGACATTCTGCCTAATTAGAAACTTGAATTTAAATACCATTTGATTTTGTTTATAAAATATGTTCATTTGTCTGACTTGTTCTGAATCAGTAATTTTAGAAAACATGCAAATTTGCTTCTGATATAAATTTTGAGCTTTGAATTTTTAGTAAAGGAGATTGGTTGCTTTGTAACCCAGCAAATGAGGGCAAACCCACTTTAATTTTTTGTTTGGTTTACTTACTTACTCAACAAATCTTTCTGAGCACTGTGCAGATGCTGGGTCCTGTGTACACTTAGTGGGGAAAACACACTGACCGCTGGGCCGTAAAGGCCAGTAAGGGGGACAAAAAAATAAAATAAGCAATGTGGATACTGTATAATTAGTATGATAATAAAAGAAGTGTTTATCTTAACTTGGGCTGAAGGTTGGTCAACACGCACTCCCCAGCGAAGGACACCCTTGGGCACAGTCCTAAGAAGTCAGTAGGGAAAGGAAATAAAACGAGGGCTTTTAGGCAAAGGGTGCAGCAGGTGCAAAGACATGGAGACACCTGAGGATCAGAGGGGCAAGTCTCACTGGAGCAGTTGGGGAGGGAAAATGGGTATATAGTAGGGGAAGAAGTTGGAAAGGAGGCAGATGCCATATTATAAAGGATGTTGGAAATTGTGCTATGGGTTAAGTTTTTCTTAAATACTCGCTCAAGGGCATGCTTATTATTTTTAGAGAGAAGGGAAGGAAGGGAGAGAGAGAGAGAGGGAGAAAAACATCCATGGGAGAGAGAAATATTGATCAGCTGCCTTCTAGCACATGCCCTGACTGGGGATTGAACCTGCAACCCAGGTGTGTGCCCTGACCAGGAATCAAACCTGCGACCCTTTGGTCTATGGGGCGATGCTCCAACCAATTGAGCCACGCCAGCCAGTGCTACCTGGGTTTATTTAAAAACTTTCATATGCACGTATAGCTAGATAATCTTGAAGAGCTGGGTTTGCAATTTCATATTCTCTTTGTCAGGTGACTTCTAGTAGAGCAGTTCGGTAGCATTCAGCACAGGACCGAATCAATGAACCAGCCTCCAGGTGAGAACTAGCTTCTGGATCCAGAGTAATGAGTGCATGGTGTTTCATCAAACTCTATTTATCTGTTTCGTCCGTACAGCCAGCAGACCACCTGCCAAGCTGTGACCCGGAAAACCTTCATGGGAGGGGAGTTCCTAAAGGTTAAACACATAGTGATGGATGAGACGGAGAATTTCTGCAGCAAGTATGGGGACTGGTACATGAAGGCTAAGAGTATCACCCATCCAAAGGCGAGGGGAGCTAGAAGTGAAGACCCTCACCACGGGGTTCTCTGGATCTTTCTGGATCCTTTCCAAGTCCATCGTGCTGATGTCAGTGGCCTTCCCCCTCCATCTGCCCGGTTTCCTCGTAAAGCAATCACCAAAGGGATCCACTGCTCTCTGGAAATAGCAAGGGTCATGAAAGAGGAAATGAAGAAGATCGGAGAAAATCCTCTGTCTGCTGCGTGTCCGGACGCAGTGGCGTTGTTCAGAGAAGCCGCCTACGAGGACGCCATGCAAGCTCAGGCCCTTCCTGGGGTGTGTGAGACGGAGACCAACCTGACCCTGGAACAGATCGCAAAGTATGTGGCAGACAGATGTCATAGCCTGCTCCAGTGTGGCTATCTGCCCAAGGATATAGCGATTCTGTGCAGGAGAGCGGAGGACAGAGGACGCTATGAGCTTGCGCTGCTCGAAGCAATGGCGTTCACTGAGACCCACAGAGCAACCAAAGCTGTGTTCAGCCAGGCCGCTGGCGCCTGGGGCAATCACATCATTTTAGACAGCGTTCAGCAGTTTTCCGGCCTGGAGAGGAACATCGTGTTTGGGCTTTGTCCAGAGTGCACCCTGTCAGAGGAAACTCACAAGCTCTGCTTCGCCTCCAGAGCCATCCTACAGCTCTACCTGCTTTATGAAAAGAGGGCAGCTCTCTGAACAGTATTTCAAACAGTCCAGGAAGCGGGAAGGAGCAGAGTCTCTTTTCCCAGGCAGGTGGCAGTTACTCCTTTTCACATATTACCAATGGGGAACTCAAGGCACAGTCAGGGTGGCAGAGAGCCACGGAAAAGTCTCTCATTGTCCTCTTCCCAGTCCACCCCATCTTCCCCATGGACAGTTACAACAGACTTCTAATTGGTCCCTGCCTCTGGTTTCATTGTGTCAACCAGAGCTGCTCTCCTCACAGAGGGAACTGATTTTATGACATTCCCTGCTAACGCATCTTCAGTGAGTCCCTGCAGTGTTTAAGTCAAACCAGTTTCCAGGGCTTTCCATGAGGCACCCTGACTTAACGCACTTAGTGCAGCCTTTGTTACCAACCCCTCCGTCTCCCGGTGCTTCTAATGCAGCCAGGCTCGAGGGCCTATTGGGGGTGGGAGGTAACATGCCTTCAGGGCTACTTACCTTGACCCGGTGTGTCAGGTCAGGGCAGCACCTTGGTTGGCTCGTTGTCCTGGCTACGGGTCCCAAGCTTTGCAGGCTCAGAACTTGATTTCCTCTAGGAGTGGAAATGTGTTCGTAGTTATGATGTGTGCTACAGGCTTTACACATTTCAGCATTAGGGCTGCTCTCTTGGGCTTCTGCTACTGCCATGTGAAGAGTGTGCCTTGGGCAGCCCACCAGTCACGGAGGAATGAGGGATGTGAAGCAGTTTTGAACTCAACTCGTGCCCCGGAGCCAAGTTTGACTGATCCCAACTAGATTAGCCCAAAACCCAGCTGACTGACGATGCCTGCGAGAGAAATAAATACTCATTATTGTATGACTGAGATTTCAAGAGTGTTTGTTTTGCAGCAGTAGCTGACTAGTGCAGGCATTTCCTCATGGTGTAGCATGAACTTCGAATGATCATTTTTAATGGCTGCACAATGTCCCAGCTAAGTTATACAAAATCGTAATTACCACCCCCTATTAATTTGCATCACTAGCAATTTGACACTGTTGAAATGAAGCCCAGTCCATACTCGGGCATACAACCTTTTCTTTCTCTGGTATATTTATAAATCCCCAGAGATGAATTACTGAGTCAAAGGGTAGCCAAACCAAAGATTCACCCTAATCACATTGGTTCTGATGGGAAGTACATAGAAAACCCCTAATCACTGCACCTGACAACATATAGGTTTCTTGCCTTAAATAAGAGAGCAAAATACTGACATCAGGTTCTGAGGGCGACAAAGAGGCGTCAGCATCTCAAAAACAGGTGGCTTAGAACAGGCTGTCTCTGCATGGAGAGCAAACCTGAGGCCTATCACCCAACCCCAGGGCATCAGAAGGGCCTAACTTGGAGAATTCCAGATGGAAGCATGAATTATGTAACCTCTGTGTTACGTAGGGGAAAAAATGCTGGTTACTTGACACTGATATAGGGAGCTGTCTCGGAACGAAGACAGAGTGCCTCTGACCATCAATGGGACTTTTTTTTTAATTTGAGAGAGAGACATTGATTTATTGTTCCACTTTTTCTTGCATTCATTGGTTGTTTCTTGTCTGTGCCCTGGTTGGGGATCGAACCCACAACCACTCCAACCAGCTGAGCTACCTGGCCAGGACTTTTTTTAAAAGAGAAACTGTGGCACGGAGAAACCCTCTTAAGAAAAGAGAAGAGAAGGGGGGAAATCGGGACAACTGTAGTAGCATAATGAATAACATATACTTTAAAAAAAGAAAAGAGGAGGAAGTATAAAGATAAACTAGATTTTCAACCGAAGCTGAGCTGCCCCAGTTTCCAAAGGTTTTGGAGAGGCCAAAGCATGAAATTATGTTCAAGAAGCTTCAACATGAAATGGCTGCAAAATTCATAATAACCATATGTTACTATTTATTGAGATAGTACTATAACCAGCTACTGTTTTCTAATGCTTTGCACACATTCTCCCAACTCCATGAGGTCTATACACATTATCTCAGCTTTATAGATAAGAAAACTGAGGTGCAGAGATATTAACTTTCTGAAAGGCTCCTGAGTGTCCGAGCTGAGTGAACAGAGCATGTGAACGGCACCCTCACTGTGGCAATCTCAACTTTGAGAATGTACTCAACTTTGGGGAATACTCTGAAAAGACTCCCCAGAGGCGAGAATGCTCACGCTCGCGCTCAGGGTCCTTTGTCGAGTTCTCCTCCCTAGAAATCAGTGGCCTTCACGGTAAGTGAAGACAGTGGCTATCCTGTCCCCTACACTTAACATCTGCGAGTTTTCCCTGACCCTCCTGACTATTCTAGAAGAACCTGAAGTTCTCTTCTGCAAAGCTCAGAATCAGACTCAAGGTCACACTCCTTCCAAGGTCAGGCCCTTCTGCTGGACCCCGTCCAAGACCGCTGCTGCTGCTCGGTTCGATAGCTTCCTCTCACAGAGGAAACACGATTTTGAAATAAATGGGATCAGTTTTCAATTTCATTTCTTTCATTTTCAGCCTAAAATGGAAGTAAAAAGGAAGGAATTAGGACATGGCTACTGTGTACTATCTCTCCTTATTGTTTGCTGCTTCAGAATGATCTCAGGCCGTTGGAGGTTAAGGCCCACCTTCGCCCCTGCTCTAATCAGGGAGGGTTGTCTTCTTTGCTCAGTTACACAGCTTGGAAGAGACACGTGTTGGAGGCGGGCGGGGAGGCAAGCAGGGGGTCCCTTCGAAGACAGGCAGATGCAACCCACCAGTCAATGGCTCATCCCTCAAAGCACCTCCACAGCTCTGCCCCTGTACCCTCTGGACATGCAGGATGAGATCAAAGCTAACAGATAGTAGATGCTGGCAACGGTCCGATACTGTGCGAAATGTTGTATATGCATTATGACTTTGATCTTCCCAGCAACTTTTGGGTTTTGTTTCCCAGACCCCTGGAAGTTAGGATAAGGTTGTGTTAAGAACATGTATCCCAGGGTCAAACCCTCCCTGCCTTTGAATTTGAATTCTATTCCTAATTAGCTGAAGGACCTCAGGCAAGGTAATTTTCCCTTTTAAAATTCAGGTTTCTCAGCTGTAAAACAGAGATAAAATTCATACCTATGACTTAAGATAAAAATGAGGGTTGACACAGAAATGGAGATCACATAGAGGGTTAGCAACTGGGGAGTGGGAGGAGGAGAGGGGGAAAGGGTACAGAGAATAAGCAGCATAGATGGTAGGTAGAAAATAGATGGGGGGAGGGTAAGAATAATGTGGAAAATGTAGAAGCCAAAGAACTTATAAGTATGACCCATGGACATGAGCTAAAGGCAGGAAATGTGGGTGGGAGGGGGTGTGCAGGGTGGAGGGGAGTGGAGCAGGGAAAATGGGACAACTGTAATAGCATAATCAATAAAATATATTTAAAATTTTTCTAAAAAAAAGGAGGGTTGAAATAAACAGTCCTTTTAAATAAAGCCTAACACGTAGAAAGTCCTCAATATAGTCTGACCCTGATTAGCTTTAATTTGTATTTGAGGAAGCTGAGGCTTAGAGGTAAGTACCTGGCTGAAGATCATGGAACTAGAAAGTTCCGAACCCAAGAGCCCAACCCGTGTCTTCCTGACCTCAAAGTCCGTTTCGGCCCCCGTGGTCTCCTGCCTTCCTGGACAGCAGCGTTAGCCACACGAGTCCCCACGGTGTGTGTGCCGCTGTTGAGACCCGGATGGAGTACACTTAGAAAGTTTGCTATTAAGCAACATGGTTCTTCTTAGTTTCTAAAATCTCTCTACAAAGCCAAATGGTAAGGAAAATGACTTCCATAGCAGAAATGTTTGAGAAAAGCATTTTCTACACTGAGAAACTTCAAAAAATACACCTTTCATTTCTAGGTCTGTACAGGGTGGGACAAAGGGAGGTTCACAGCTCTTCGTGTGAAGAATAATACAGTCCTTAATAAATAATAATACAAGAATGAGATCTGGGTTTCACATGCTCACCGCTGAAAACCTCCTTCTGCCACCGCCCTGTACACTGATGTCACCTCAAGATAAGAAAATAGAGGACGAAAGCCCTTCCTCCCCATCATTACTGCCACCTCACACAGTTGTCCTTTCTGCTGGTTCATTTCCAGTGTGGGTCCCGGGGCAGATACATTTTAGCAGAGCTGTAATCATTGAGCACAGTCCATTTTGCATCCTGTCTGGGGTGATTTTTCTGGAAACCATTCCCACTGTCCAGTCCACCATACAGCGTGTGAGACATTTTCCACACGGCAGCCTCAGACGGGCAACTCCCAGTGTCGAAGAGCCTCTCAGATTCCACGGGGTTTCTGGGGCCAGTCTGCCTGCATTTACACCCACAGAGAGGAGGATGGTGAAGGGCAAGCAAAGGATGCTAAAGCTCTTCGCCAAACCCCATGAGATGTGGGGATGGGGTGGAACGGAATTCTAGGAAACTCAGCAACAAAGTCGCACTTAGGACAGAAGCATGTTTCTTCCCTGGCCTTGCGGTTGTGTCCGCTCAGAAGAGTAACCATTGCCAGGGGCCCAGCTCAGGTGGTCTGTGGAACAAAGCTTTGCTTGCTCAAAGCTACCTCAGTGGACTTTTCTGTATTTGCCCGATAAGAATCACCTGGCATGATGGTTCAGCTTCCAGATGCCTGTACCGCTCTCAACTCTAAGACATGGGCCTGCAACTAATTTGGAGAAATCGTGTGGGAAATACCGCACTGAATGTTGAAATGGGTGGAACCCATAACTGCACTACAGGAAGAGCACCCAGCCGCCACTTAGAGTCCTACCCAGGAATGACAAGCTTCCTGAGCTTTGGGGCACCCATGCACTTGTGTGGGTTTCAGGTCAGGTGGGACAAGCTTCAAATATGGGCTCAAGCACCCAAATGTGACTTGGGCAAGTCCACTGATCCTTCTCATGGAAAATGGAAAAAATATTCTTTCCCTCAGGTGGTGGCTGTGCAGATGAAGAGCTTTATTTTGTGTGCTTGGTACAAACCACAGTGTCTACGAGCAGCAGTTATTCACCTAAGATCTCAGTGCCTGACATGTACATGGTCAAAGACTCAGTTTGGGATAAGTTACTTCGACATCATCATCACTTAACCTCTCTGAAGCTTAGTTTCTGCCCAGAGGTAACCACTGTACCACGAACAGCTCAGCCCAGGGCTGGTGTAGACACAACGCTAAGTCCTACGTGGACGTCGTTATCCAGATGCTCTCTGGACCCCACTGGGTTTTTCTCACTGGTTTTCAAGTGTGCTTTAAAAAAAAAAATGTGTCCTTTGGGGGTAATTTGTAGGTTGTCACACTTTTCTGAAATTGGATAATTACCCATTCTGTTCGACACACGTAGGCAACCTCATGAAGGGACAGTGCTGGCCAGATGGGAAACAGATTTGGCACAAATTGGATTTGGGCGGCAGTCTGTAATGCTAGTAATTTCTGTGGCAGTCCCCCATGAATAGCGAGCCTAGAGATTGTGATGACGGGAGACAGGAAATGGGAGTTCAGTAGTTCCCGACCCTGGCTGAGCATAGAACCACCTACTGTCTTAAAAATAAAGATTCATGGTTTGATTCTGCGTGTCTGGGGAGGGGTTCTAGAATCTGGGTTTTTTTAAAGGTGTGCTAAAAGATTGGGAAGTTGATTGTTGTCTGTTCTCCTTTTGTAATGCAAATAACTGAGAGCTAATGACTTAAGCTTTGGTTGCCAGGCATCCACTTCACAGATGACTATCTTGAATAAACACATTGCCAGCCACCTTTCCCTGCTGAGACTTCTTTGTTTTAGATCTTGGTTGGTTCTGTAACTGGCCATTTGGGCCACTGTTTGAAAATGTGTTTTTTCTTGTGGTTTATATGCTCTCTCTTTTAAACTCACCAATCAAGATTAAGCCGGTGAAACCCTAAGGCTCCACCCTCAGCCCCAATAAAAGCCAAACACCACACCAGTGCACCTTCCTTTTCTCTCTCTTCCTGCAACCTCACCACAGGCTAAAGAGTGCGGTCCAACTCCGAGTCCTGTAAGTAATAAATCTTTATGCTTCTCAATTACCTGATGATTATCGCTGAAGGGCGTCTTGCAGTCATAATAGGAACCACAAGGGCACGTCCAGTCACAGCACTGGTTACGGACAGGATAAAATGCTGGTTCGTGACATCTGAGGCTAAATTCCCTCTAGTGCACACCTTTCCTCAGAGTTAAAAATAATTGCTAAAGCCATACTGTAATAATTCTCGAGATCTATAAGGATGGACACGTAAAAGAAACCAAACTGGAGTTCAAGGGACTGTGGCTTGTGTGGGTTCTGAAGGGAAGTTGCAGGTCAAAGCAGCAAGTAGGAGAAACAGAACAATTAGCAGGCTAATGCTAATGGCATTAGCGGCCAGGTCAACAACAGGAGATCCCGTAGAAGTTTCAGCTATAACCGTTGGGATTGTAGAGGCTACTAGAAAAATTAAGAAAGTCAGTGAGCTGTACAGCTTAATTCTCTATCTGGCTCTACCATTCCCCTCCCCCACCTTAGTGCATTAAATATTTCTTGAGTAGTTCAGGCTTATGGTGCTCAGTAGCAATTCCTCCCTGTCCACCTTCTTCCTTTCCAACTCCACTCCCCAGAACGTAATTCTTAACAATACTTTGGTGCTTATCCAGATTGGCTTTTCTTTTCTTCTTCATTTTTCAACTTTACTGTTGTTCAACTACGTTGTCTGACTTTGAGCTCCACCTCTCCTGCCATCCCCAGCCATCCCCACCTCCCTTCTCTGATTCCACCCTCGTTGGTTTTGTTCCTGTGTTCTTTATAGTTGTTCCGGAAAATCCTTCACCCTTTTCCCCCCATTATCCAGATAGGCTTTTCTGTAGCCTTGTTCTCCAAGGAGTTTAAAGTACTCCCTGTGGTATACAGTTCCTCAGAGTCAAACCAGAGCTAACTAGCCTTCCCCAACTTATCGAAATGCCAAGTTTTTGTTGAGAAACAGGAAACGTTTTTTTTTTCTTCTCGAAGCTAGACATTAAGAGGTGAGAGCATTCTAATCTAGTCTGTTGGGCAATCAGGCCTTTATCTCAGTTTTCAGAGAAACCAACCTAAAAAAGTAAACAGTGTAATTCTGATTTTCAGGAACTGAAACCTGTACTCTTTCCCGGCTGGTATTTCTCCAGGGGGCTCAGATTTCAGAGCCAGTTCTTACCATAGCCCTCAGTCAAAAGCTGCTGACCGCTGGACAGAACAGGACTCCAGGAGTTTTCTCTTTAACATCTTAACCCTGAAAAATCTAACACCCAAGGTAAGTACAGGCTGCCTGGAAAGAACCAAGCCTTGCCTATTCAACAGAAAAAGAGATTAAAAAAAAAAAAAACCTCAAAACCCTCTAAAATGGAAAATCTACCCTATGACCCTTCCAGATACGTCTTATCTGTATGTTCAGGCAGGAGGTGGAGGGGGACATAAATGGCCCCTGTTCCTTAAGTGAAATAGGCAGAACTGTTCTGTGGATGGGACTCACCTTCTCGCTCAGGCCAGCCACCCGAGACTCCAGCCCAGACGACCTGGCTGAGCTCTGAGATTGGCATGGTGTACAGGGTTGCGGGGGAGACTTGTCAAAGCTCTGGGGATACACTTTCAATGGGACCGGGAGGAGTTAGGACTTTGGCAGGAAGAGATGACCATTGGAATATTTCATCGGTTTTGTTGGTTTGCTTTTCATAATATATTTCACTTTCATAAATATTTATTTCATAAATAATTTTACTTTTAGGAGAAATTTAAGATATATTGATTGGGAAGTTCTGATCTAATTGGATTTTCCAGATTATTTTTGTGTCAAAAGTACTTGTGGTTATTTTATTTACCAACATTAATTAAAATTACTTTGCAGTGCTTTTAAACAAATTGCTTCTTCATATCTTTTTGGTGATAGGGCACAAATGAATAGATAACTATGAATAATACCTCAGCCCTGGCTGATATAGCTCAGTGGATTGAGCATGGGCCTGCACCCCAAAAGCTTGTAGGTTCCATTCCCAGTCAGGGCACATGCCTGGGTTGCAGGCCAGCTCCCCAATGCAGGGCTCATGAGAGGCAACCATACATTGATGTTTCTCTCCCTCTCTTTCTCCTTCCCTTCCCCTCTTTCTAAATATAAAATCTTTAAAAAAAACACAAAACTTCAGCAGGTGCACAGTTGAGAAATATCTGCCGTTCTAAACTAGGAAAACAATCATCTGTAACAACAAATATTTATTTTACTAGACACAGACAGCACCTACGTGTATGCTGGATATTTTCTGTAGACATCAATTGCTATACTCACGTTTACAATATAAATGTTTTTATTACTTCAGCCATAAATGTAAGATAATTATTTAGCCCTAAATTAAATAAACTATTTTCATATATGTGTGAACAACGACCTATTGGAGACCATAATTATAGCACCGAGGTCGGGGGAAGAAATAAATCAGAGATCAACTAACTCCAATTCTAATTCTGAGCAGGCCATACCTTTTCTCTTCGTCTGTGTGAAATACAAAACAGCATAATGTGTGGGGCAGGCGGAGCCAGGTTCTAGGACGGGTCTGTTGTTTCTTTGTGGATCGTACGTAACGTTCTCAGAGCTGAGGGATCATAACCCTACCTCCTAATTCTATTGTTCCCCTCGGGCTCACACGCAGAGGCTCGGCTCCCCATGCCCCGGACCACTCTATGCCCCATTTCCAAAGCAGTGCACGCTGTCCTGCAGACACACGGCTTTGCTCCCGGGAGCCCGCGCCAGTCCTGCGGCCCCGACGCGGTCCTGCGGAAGCCTCACTGGCCAGGGCTCTGCGGGGATGTTGTAGACGTTGAACACAGTGGGGGAAGCGCCCCATGCTGGGATGGAGGTGGGGGGCCTCAGCAAGCTGCCAGCAAGCTCCTCAGCAAGGAGTCAGCCAGCACAGGCTCAAGGTGGACAGGGCCGAAGGGCAGTGTGCAGCCAAGTGGAAAGGGTGAGAGGAGGAAGTGAAAGGGAGTGGGGGGGGAGGGGGGGCGGTGCTGAAAGTGATGTTGCTGCAAGGCTTTCTCAAGTTAAAACATCTTCCTGTTTTTTAACAAAGATTTTATTTAGTTTTAGAGAGAGGGAAGAGAGAGAGAGAGAGAGAGAAACATCAACGTAGGGTTGTCTCTTGTGCACCCCCTTCTGGGCACCTGAACCACAACCCAGGCATGTGCCCTGACTGGGAGTCAAACTGCGATCCTTTGGTTCCCAAACCTGTACTCAATCCACTGAGCTACACCAGCCGGGCTAGAAGTTTTTAATTTTAATGAAGTCTAACATACCCATTTTTTAAATGAATCATGTATCTAAAATGTCATTAGCAAACACAACTTCACCCAGATTATCTCCTGTGTTATTTTCTAAGAGTAATGGTTTTGCATTTTAGATTGGGTTCATTGTTAGTTCTGAATTAATTTTTGTGAAAGATGTAGCTCTGTTTCTAGGCTCATGGTTGTGCATGTGGATGTCCAGTTTTTTCAGCACCATTTGTTGAAAAAGACTATCCTTTATTTGTTGAACTCCCTTTGCTGCTTTGTCAGAGATCAGTTGACTGTCTTTCTGTGGGTCTGTTTCTGGACTCTCATCTGTTCCACTGACCTATTTGTCTACTTCTCATCCACTTCACACTGTCTTTTTTTTAAAAAAATATTTTATTTTATTTTATATTTTAGAGAGAGGGGAAGGGAGGGAGAAAGAGAGGTAGAGAAACATCAGTGTGTGGTTGCCTCTCATATGCCCCCACTGGCGACCTGGACTGCAACCCAGGCCTGTGCCCTGACTGGGAATTGAACTGGCAACCCTTTGGTTCGCAGCCTGAACTCAATCCACTGAGCCACACCAGCCAGGGCTAACTTTACACTGTCTTGATTATTATAATAAGTAATTTCAATAGCAGGCCTTGAAGTTGATATTGTCAGTCTTTTGACTTGGTTCTTGTCTTTCAATATTGTGTTGGCTATTCTGAGTCTTTTGCCCTTCTATGTGAACCTTTGAACCAGTTTGCTGATAGCCACGAAATAATTGCTGAGATTTTTATTGAGGTTGCATTAAGTCTATAGATACCGTTGAGAAGAACTGATCTTTTGACAATATTAAATCTTCTCATCCATGCACATGGAATATCTCTCCATTTATTTACACCCCCTTTGATTTCTTTCAACAGAATTTTGTTTTCCACATGCAGAGCATGTATCTCTTTTGTTATATTTATACCTAAGTATTTCGTTTCATTTTTTGCTGCTAATGTAAGTGACATTATATTTTTAATTTAAAATTTCAATTATTCTGACTTCTGACCAAGATGGAAGCGTAGGTGGAAACACTGTGCCTCCTCACACAACCAAGTTTAAAAACAACAAAGTTTTAGTAACAAAAACGCAACCAAAACACAGAAAATTGAACTGTACTGAAGTCTGACAACAACGAACCATTCAGCCAGATGGGTAAGAGCGGCACAGTCAGCAGCTGGCTGAGCAGAGCAAGGTCGTGCAGGAAAAAGCAGCCGGACTGACCCAGGCACGCGGGTGGCGGTTGGCAGATCCCAGGCGTGGGTCGGCAATGGACGGACCCAGTGAGGGTGCAAGGCAGCTGTACACTGGGATCGCACATTCACACTCAGATAAACCAGGCGAAGAAGTAATCAGTGAGACAGACCACACAGGCTAGGGCCCCAGCGACGGGAATTAAAGCCTAAAAGCACCAATTGAAAAAACTTTTGGGGTCGGGGTGCCCGGAGAAGCTCCCAGGCTCACAGAGAGTTTTTTGGAGACCCACAGGGTCCTGGATGGTGCACAGGCCCACACATCCAGGAGCCAGCACCAGGGGGGCCTGGTTTGCTTTCAGGAAGCAGCAGAGGGGACTGAAATCCAAGAGAGAGCAGAACAAATGCCATTGCTCCCTCTCTGACCCCGCCCCCACATCCAGCATCACAACCTAGCAACTGGGTCACTCTGCCCTGGTGAACACCAAAAGTTCTGGCCCTCATATGTAACAGGCGCGAACAGACCAAAAGATTATGGATCAAGAAGAACAGCTCAAAGCCCCAGAGCCAATACTTTTAAGCGACCAGGAGATAGCCAACCTATCAGATGCACAGTTCAAAGCACTGATGGTCAGGATGCTCACAGAACTGGTTGATTTTAGTCACAAATTAGAGGAACAAATGAAGGCCAAACCAATTGAAATGAAGGGAAATGCACAGGAAACCAATAGTGATGGGAAGGAAACTGGGACTCAAATCAAGGGAGTGGACCAGAAAGAAGAAAAAAATGGCCAAACAGAAAAGAATGAAGAAACAAGAATTCAAAAACAATGAGGACAGGCTTAGGAACCTCCAGGACATCTTTAAATATTCCAACATCTGAATTACAGGGGTACCAGAAGGAGAAGAGGAAGAGCAACAAGTGGAAAACTTATTTGAACAAATAATAAAGGAGAACTTTCCCAATCTGGCAAAGGAAATAGACTTCTGGGAAATCCAGGAAGCTCAGAGAGTCCCAAAGAAGGTGGATCCAAGAAGGAATACACCAAGGCACATCATAATTATATTAGCCAAGATTAAAATGAAGGAGAGAATCCTAGAAGCAGCAAGAGATAAGGGGACAGTCACCTACAAAGGAGTTCCCATCAGACTGTCAGCTGATTTCTCAAAAGAGACCTTACAGGCAAGAAGGGGCTGGAAAGAAATATTCCAAGTCATGAAAACCAAAGACCTACAACCAAGATTGCTCTATCCAGCAAAGCTTTCATTTAGAATGGAAGGGCAGATAAAGTGCTTCTCAGATAAGATCAAATTCAAGGAGTTCATCATCACCAAGCCCTTATTATATGAAATGTTAAAGGAACTTATTTAAGAAAAAGAAGATAAAAAAGATGAACAGTGAAAGGACAGCAAACTCACAGTTATTAAGAACCACACCTAAAACGAAAGCAAACTAAAAGGACAGCTAGATCAGGAGTGGAAACATAGAAATGAAGATCTCAAGGAGGGTTAGCAACAGGGGAGTGGGAGGAGGAGACGGGGAGAGAAGGTACAGAAAACAAGTAGCATAGACAGTAGATAGAAAATAGATGGGGGGGCAAGAATAGTATGGGAAATATAGAACCTAAAGGACTTGAGACACATGGACATAAGCTAAAGGGGGGTAATGGTGGGGTTGGGGGGGCAGGGTGGAGGGGAATGAAGGGGGGAATAGAACAACTGTAACAGCATAAACAATTAAAAAATAAATAAATAAATTTATTTAAAAAAA